CTCCCTGCAGCATGCCCACACCTGCCTGTGGCAACCAGCTGCCCTTCCCCTGCTGCAAACAACAGCACGCTTCCCATCCGTGGGATAGGGCAGTACCCCACAGCAGGCACCACGTTCCTGCAAGACTTCTTTTCCTGGGTTTCACTTACAGCAACACTATCCGAAAATGTCAGAATGGTGTTTGCTTTTCTGGACAATTGCAGGACACAGCCAACAGTTTTGTGACCTATTCTCATCCTCAGTTCTGCAGAGCTGATGCTTCATATGTCAGCAGCTCAAACTATGGCTGTAAATGTCCAGATAGCATCCACATTTTGATTCCTTTTGCCCCTTTAGCTTTTCTCCTTCTTAGGACAATTCTTTTTATTTCTGTGACATATTTCAGTTCATCATTTGAAGCGTTAATCACTCCACTGATTGGTTCAGAGAGAAGCATGAGGAAAGAACACAAACCCATGGAATATATCTCTTGTTCCTGGTGGAGCACAGCCATAAGACACAGAGGTAGTGCCCCTTAAGTTCAGCTCCCTACCCCAAGCTTTACCAGGACAAAGGCATCAGGCTCTGTAGGATCCTTACCAGCACAGCCAGAGCCAAGGTGTCTGCTTATGGCCACAGTTGCAGGAGATTACTGTTAAGCCCCTGTTAGTATGGATTTCAACTCTCTGTCTGCAGGATTTGCAAAGATTAACTCAAAGCACCCTAATTCTTCCCTTCAGCTGGAATTTCTGGAGTCATTCCAAAAAGGCACTGAGCTCGGACAGCGTCGTCACTGCCTTGACAGCCTTCAACTTAAAATCCAGGTAGGAGAAACAAGTGAGAGCAAGATGGGGGCTGCAGCAACAGAAAGGGAACTGTGGCAGAAGAACACAAAGGAAATGAAGCAGAGCTACCAAATTAAGCAGATAAAGAGCTTGGTTCCCCTGACATAATTGAGTTGGGGAGAAAGCTTAACAGCAGCCAAGTCAGGAAACCAAACTTTGCAGAGTAGTGAGCAGTATTTCTAGTATAGCACTGTTTATCCTGCAGGAGTGAAACAAGTCCAGGTTAGAGTTCAGCATGCAAAGCACTGCCCAGCATTCAAAACACCTTCAAGCAATTTGCAGCACTTTGAAATCTCACTTTTGCAAAGGAATGAGGGCACAATAAACTTGTTAAGTAGCAGGTGATAACATTAGTGAACCACCCTGCTGCTGGGTACGTGATGTGATAGAGATTTACAACCTCAGTTCTGTAACTCGTGCACACTTTTGACTTAAAGCTACAGCACAGCCACAGTTCTACCCTGGCAGGTGATGACAAAAAGAGGTTTTAAGCTTTATTCATGTAATTAAGAAGTCAGGCTTACTAAATGGGAATAACACAAAGGAAACCTGGCACAACAGACCAAAACAAAGCAGGCTATGCTGGATGCCAACTGAGAATGGCAAAAACAACACTGCCTATGTTAGTTTGCTTTTATAAACGCAACCTTATAAATAGGATAAACACTTCTTAACCACAGAAGTGCAAACTGAGTTGATGCTATTCCAACACCAGCATTTCGGTGAATGATAACTGTTCCAGATGGAAACAAAACTAGAACTGTCTTCAGCATCCTTACTCTTTACTTTGTGAAACTAACAACCATGAACTGTGGTTCTCAGGTTTCCCCTGTGGCACCTGAAGGACCACTCCACCACACCACATCTTAAAGCCACTTTAAGCACTGATGCCATCACCTCTTTCTCCCCTAGGACCAGAAATACTGCTGTCCAGCGCTTGCTTTGGCACAAGTTGTGGGTTGGCTGCTGAGAGAAGCAGAAGCATCCCCATAGAACACACCTTGGTGATCAGAAACAGGCAGAGCAGCTGTCAGAAAGGGCAGTAAGCCCAGATTTATCTTCATATTTCTTTACTTTCTGCAGACAAAGCAGTGCAGCACAGCGACCTGTGGCATTTTCTCTACATGCCTCACTATTTCTCACCACGAGATGCCTGAGCCTTGCACTGAGACCTGGCTGCTGGCACCAGGAGACCCCCCCAAGCCCAGAAAGAAGGATGAGCTACTGCTGTGCAAGAAAGCACACTGCACACAGGTGGCAGCAAGTTCCTGAGAACTTTGGGTTTCTTACACAGAATAGCTCACCTTTCTCTTGGAAGGGTGGCTGACTGCCAGTTACCTCACATTTATTCTGTTGAAACAGGATATTCGTAGGCTTGTACTCAACTGCACTGCAGTAGCTATCAGGGAACCAGAATTCCTAATTAGAGAGAAACCAGGAACAAAGCAAGCATCCCCCACTTATTCCAAAACAGGACAGCAAATATATAGAAACATTAAAAATGGGCATTTTGCATTTAATAAAGAAACTCTCCATCCACCTCATCTCTGGCAGTTCTGGCATTCTTAAGTTTGGCAATGCCACACTTGTGTTTTACTAAGGCCCATGCAATTCAACTCAGCCAGCAACTGTATCGAGCTTCTTTAGGCTCTGCATTTTGGAGAGCACGTCATGGTACCTCCTCCTGGTTGCTAATTTACATTTACATCTACTGTAAACTTATTAAACAGTCCTTACCACTCTTTCTGTTTTGCCACAAGGGCAGAAAGAACCTGCATCAGGAGTTGGCTAACAGAGAACCAGAGAATCAATACAGTTGGAAAAGCTCTGTAAAGTAGGATAAACTGTAATGTCACCAACGTGATCCCACTCCCCCCCCACTGCCCACGTCCCTCAGTGCCACATCCCCATGGCTCTGAACACCCTCAGAGATGGTGACCCCCAGCCCTGGGCAGCTGTGCAGTGCTGAGTGCTCTTGGATAAGAGTTTTCTCCTAACATCCAATCTGACTCTCCTGTGGCACAATGTGAGGCCATCGCTTCTCATCCTATCAATTTTTGCTTGAAAAAGCCTAACATCCTGTCCCATGGCCACAGCTACTTGCTTGCTTTATAAATTAATGATTCAGAATGAAAAGCTTGTCAAGTAATATTTCTCACTCCGTACACCAGCATCTTGGCTCTTAACCCAAATATTCATCCACTCTTTTCTCGCTCTGCTTCCTGTTTCCTTTCTTGCCTTTCCAGAAGGTTTTTCTCACTTTAGAGACAATTCTCTCCTAGCACCCTGAACCAGTTCGGTAGAAACACTGCAAAGCAAATGCCCACCAGCCAGCAGACCCAGGACCTGCTCTGCAGAGCTCGGTGCTGCGATGCTGCACATACGTGAGCACCAGCACGATGCGAGAGGAGGGCTACGAGCAATTAGCACTCAGTTCCAGCCCGGTGCACCTTCAGCCCCTTGCTTGCTGCTGGAACTGAGGTACAGAGTGCAGAACTGCCTGGAAGGCTGCCACAGCCCACCAGGGTGAGAGCCTAAACAAACCAAGGCTTTGTCCCAGTGAACAGACCTCCCAGTCAGCTTATTCACGGGCATCCAAGGTGCTGTCAGGCTGCATGTTTCAGCTCCAACTCTCCTTAGAATAAATAAATAGAACTGTGGCTGTGCCTTTCCCAACAGGAAAGCCTGTAGCATCCATCACTCACAGGTGCACCCGGCAAAGCTGGTGCTCAGGGACATGGGACAGACATCTAATGCTGACTCGTCACCATGCATCACTGAAAGCAAACTTCTGTGTGGTCCAAGAAGGCAGTTATGTGCTTCTTTGTGCCATAAGAAAGTAGTGATCTCACACTTTGTCGTGTTCCCCTTCAGCCTAATAACTACAGATCTGATTATTGCTGGGAAATTGAAGCAGGTAATTGCTAGGTTCCATCCTAATGCCTGACCCTAACCACTCAGCATCTTCTGCTAGCCCTGCAAGGAGGGAATCCTGCTGCTGACAAGCAGGAGCCAGGTGGCCCAGGAGAGGATGGCATTCTCCACTTGCAGAAGGCCAAGGGGAAGGAAAGGCCTCACTCTCCAACCCAGCTCCAGCCCAGCTGTCCCTGCTGGGCTAGCCCCAGGCTGACCAAGTGCTGTGACACAGGTAAACCCACGCAGCTGTGCTCTCAGCAGCAACAGGGAGGCACCCCACTGCCCACCCAGCACAACTCACCAGCAGTGTATGCTGCTGGGTACAAAACACAGCTCTGGCCCAAAGTAAGAAAGAGCACTGAGTCAAAGCCTCTCCAAGCTCTGTTCTCCTAGATCACAGAATGGTTGGATTGGAGGGGAACTTAAAGCCCCCACCAGCTCTGGCTGCCCAGGGCCCACCCACGGCCTCAGGCACCTCCAGGTAGGGAGCACCCACAGCTCTGGAAGCAGAGCTGCCCTCTGAGCGGAGAACTTCCTCCCCACACCTGACCTCCCTCAGTCGGAAGCCATTCCCCCCCGGCCCGAGACCGTCCGCCCGCGCGTTCCGAAGGCTCACGAAGCCGCAGGTAACGCTGTCACCGCATTTCCTGCCCCGCGGGCCCGAGGCCACGCCGAGAGCCGCCCCGGCCCCGCGTACCCCGTTGGCGGCGGCGATGCGGACGATGATCTGAATGGCGTCCTTCATGTAGAAGCGGCCGTCGCCCCCCACCACCAGCGTGGCCTCTTGCCGCTCTCCCGGCGGCACGGTGGCCAGGATGCTCTGGATGAAGTTCTCGGCGTAGTGGGCATTGTTTTGAAAAACGGTGACGCGTTTACGCAGCCCGCTGGTGCCGGGTTTCTGGTCGGCGTACGCCTTGGTTTTCACCGTCTCGATGTGCACCATGGCCGGCCCGGGATGCGAGTTCCGGGCGCGGCGGCGGCGGGCGCGGGGGGAGCCGGGGGAGCCGGCCCCGTTCGCTCCCCGCCCCGCGCGGCTCCGCGCCGCCCGCCCCTTAAAGGCGCAGCGGGGCTCGGGCTGCGGCTGTCAGGACGCCGAGAGCAGCGGGACTGGTTCTAGGCGCGGAGAGAACGGTAGAAGGCAGTGCTGCTGCTGCTGCTGCTGCAGGCGCTGCCTCTCCATACTGGCTGCCGGTTAAAAGAAGCAGCGAGAGCCGACACCTGTGTTCTCCCTTAAAAGTAGAAGCTAGAATGTTTTCCTACCTTGGCAGCACCTGAAGTTGAAGGAAACTGGAAGTACTCTGCAGATACAGCCGGGATCCCCACTGTCCTGGCCAGAAAAGATGGAAATTCCCACGGAAAACAGAACTAGCCTATATTCCCCTTCAAAGAGCTGGGGAAACTCTTCTTAACAGTGAGATCTGAAAAGGAAGAGGTTCCACTCCCCATTGCTGGGTCACGTTTCAAGTCTTTTTGCAGCAATTACTCAGCTTGGCACGTGTTTCTTTCCTGAAGTCCAATAAGAATTGCACGTGGATTCCCGCTAGATCTACCAGGCCTGACATCAATGCAAAAACAGAAATAATGCAAATAACTGTGCTTGCTCTGTATTGCCTACAGCACACGTAGGTGTTTCACTATTTCCCAGTTCCTTCTTAGAGATGCTACCAGGAACTCCTGATTATCCACACGTTGCCTGAGGCAGTGTTTACAGGGTTCTTTCTGGCTGGCTGCAAGTTACCAAATATTTCTGCAGTCTTTTAGTGCAATTTCTACTGCTTTTAGGCCATTCTAGAAATGAAAGTGATATCTGCTGTGCTTGCTAAGAAGAAAAAAAAAAAGCTCACCGGCAGACCTGCCTGAGTTCCAGTTACAGAAGAGCATAAATCACAGCCAGCCTCTAGCAGCACTCCCATTTTGTAACTGACATTTACTTGCCCAGTGTACGATTACAGCAGAGCAACAGCGCTGTGCAGGAGCTGCTGGCAGATAAATATAGCTTTTCAAGACTGCTCGTCGCCCTTTCAGATGAGGTCACATATATTTAAGGGCTATTTTAAACTCAGGCACTCCTGAAGCATTCGGTGACCAGGGTCATCATTTCTTATATGGACGCTTGGAGAAAAACATAACTGCCTGAATACTTTTAGTACCTCGAGCCTTCTTACTTCAGCTACGTTGCAAATAATTAGTTGCAGTTAACAGTTAGGAGCACAAATATTAATCCCTTATTGCATGTGAAAAGGCAGATTTTATTTCATATAAAAGAGTATTTTAAAAGTATTTTAGTACAAGGTATTATCAAATGACCAAAAAAATTGAAACCCTTTGTCAGGAGATAAATAACCCCACCCCTTTTTATCTCTCACATAAAAATCATGTGTTGAATTACACATGAAGCAGTGTTGAATTAGGAATCAATGTGATCAATTTAACAAAGCTTTTTCTCAGTGAAGCAGTTCCAGTATGGACTGTAGTATGGAACTATGTTAACTATTACAGCAAATAAGGGCATTTTTGGGGAAACAGCCCTTGTGAAACATAATTCTATCACAACTGTCAGCTGTATCACCAAACAGAACTCATTTTTAGCATCTCAACACTTGCACAATGCTGTATTTCATTAGACAGCATGTGAACATTCTGCCCTGTCAAACAATTCTACAGACTTGCAGTTTTTCCATCGCTATGCTATCACTGTTTGTGTTTCTTAAGAGCTATTAGCAGACATGGGATACCAGAAATAAGTACTTATACGATTCATTGGCTTTAACAAATAAAACTGAGAAGCATACCAGCTTTAGAGGACACACCTACAAGTTGTGTTGCAGAAGCTGTGATTAAACATTGCCAAGAAGCAGCACTGACTACAACATTCAGCGTAAGAGGGAATGCACACAATTATACAGCCATTCTTCCTGCTCGTTCAGTGGCAGCACGTGCTGAGAAACCTGTACACAAGAGAGAAAACATTGGTGAAATGGATGTTTATTGAGGGATTGTATGTATATAGCCTAGAATGCTATGCAAGCAACAAGAAATATTCCAGTACGTGTACAACAAACACTGAATGAAAAACAATCAGCATCTATTATGACAGCAAAGATTTCACAAGGGTCACCGAGTCTCAGTTTATACCGAGCAAAGCAGAAATTAAAATGAATAAAACACTACAGGAGGAGACTACAATTATCTGAATTGCCAGTAGCAATATTAACTGGGCCACCCTGCCAGTGCCACTGGGCTCTATCTGTTTCATAGAACCATAGAATGGCCTGGGTTGAAAGGAACCACAATGCTCATCTAGTTCTCTTACACAAGCCTGGCTCGGTCTGTTTCTCAAGACAATCTACAGATCTGATTAAAATTTAAGTAATAATAATAATTAAAAAACAGAAATAGAGTATTAAAAACATGATGAAGTGATACATGTATGGACAACTGAAAGAGGCACCAGCATCCAAAATCTGGGAGCACACGTATGACAAACTAAACGCAATATAATCTTATATCAATCTGCACTGCAGAACGTGGTTATATCAGGCATGTGTTCAGCTTTGGAATAGCAATAAAATGATATCTGATCTGTACTGGTGATGAAGACAGACCTCTTCATTACCCACATGCTTGTTTATCATGATAAAAGACTTGCAAAAGGAAACAGTACAGTTGTCAAATGATTTTTGCTTTTCACTTAGATTTTAGATAGCTAAACAATAAATTCTTACCATCATAGATTTTGGTGCCACTTCCACAGCAAAAACAGCAAGGCCTCTATTACTTAGGCAGTTCTTACTCTGCTCATTGTTGACATGAACAATCACTTTGTTATCAGACTGCACGTAAAAAAAGCATGAAAGAGCCCATTAGTCTTAGCGGTAAAGCAGCTGCTCTTTATGTAAGAACTACACCTTCCTCCTATTTCCTCAGCTATGCTATTAAGTTAGATTCTGAAGTTAAATGCCCTGTGTCAGGAGCACTTTTCATGTTTTGTTTTCTTTCAGATATGACCAGAGTTCCTCACTTGGGCTGCCACAAGTCACAGATACAGCACACACAGCAGTTTGTAAGGGACACTCATCAAGATGTGCCTTGTTACAGTCGTCTTCTGCTCATGGTTTCTTCCAAGCATTCCCTTGAGAAAAGCAGCTCATCTTCATAGAGATTTTTTAAAACATTGGGCAGAATTCATTTAAGTACAATCACTCAACAGACCTCTTACTAAAGGTGTGCAGATGCTTCCGAAGATCCAATATGTAAAACTGAGAGTTGAGGTACTGGAAAATTCTTTGACCACAGATTTACCTCAAGCAATATTCAGACTCAGGACCTAAGGGTGTACTACTATACTCTGCCATCCACTCAACAGAGAGCCCAGGAAATTTGGTTCTTAGACAATGCTGTCCAACAATCCCTCTGTATTGAGAAATGGAACAGAAACACAGCTGATTTAAGCAATCAGCCTCATGCCACACAAGAAGCTCCTATCAGCTCTTTTTGCCAGTCCTTTCAGCCTATCTTTGGTGCACACAGTAGGAAGGATCTGTGGGCCACAGAGTGTAAATACGGTCATTCTTGGCTGCAGAAATGTAAAGACGATCCAGTGCTAATCTCATTATTATTATGATCGCCCCTGTCACTTCGGTGAAATTCTCTCTTCTACTTGGCCATGAGAATGATCTCTACAGGAAGATACTTAAAGCAACAGGAAGAAGGTAAGAGAAATTCACCGAGCAGAGAGGGCATCCTAGACCAAGCCTGCACTTTGGATGACAGGAAATGCTTCATCAACGATTGCTTTTGTCACACAAATGAGGAGGCAACAGACTCGTTTCTGCTTATTCTCTGAGAAGACTGAGGCTCTGCCTGTGAGGTCTTTTCATCTTTGCAGCTCGCACCCTGACTGGGGATGGTTACAAGACAGACACCTTTCTCTACCCACTGATGAAACGCACGTGCAAAACAAAACCAGAATCCCTCAAGAACTAGCAAAATTTAATTACAGAAATAACAAAGAATTATTTCCATTGAAATCATCAACACAGTAACTGAAGATACAACCAGACTGCTTGCACTGTGGGAAGCTTAAAAGAAGGCATAAAATTGCCCTTTCATTACTTCTTGCCAGACATTTACAGTGCAAAGTTTCCAGCCAACAAATTCTCTAATGAGATTTTCAGGGAAGTGTAACTGCTCAATGCAGAGCAAAGCTACATATGAAACCCAAATGGTATAAATGGCAATGGTCAGTGATTTTCACCAGCCAGTTGCCTCAGCACAGGTCTTGTCTCCTTCTCTGACATACCCCTAAACATATAAATAACTCCAGTATACCCACCTAAAGGGCGAAGTGCATTTCTAAACCTGTGGCTCCAAAGAACCTCTGCATTCAGTCCTAATATTAGTCCACCAATCCATCCCCTTTTGCATGTTTGCCCATTTAAAAATACACTCTTGTTATGAGCTTTTAAGACTTCAAGCATCTTAAGTTTAGCATCTTACTGCACAGTATTTATGTTCCTGTTATAAATGAAAGAGAATTACCAGAATATTCATGGAGATCTATGCAAAAAGGTTAAAAATCTGCATCTCACCAACAGGTTTTACCTGGATTTATGTTTGTTCACACCAATTAGTAGCAAAGTAGACCAGTAAGACTGGCAAGTTAACAGAAAATGTAATTCCCAAAACTGAAGCATGCAAGGAAAAGAACAGTAATAACAGACATTAAAACAAAGTACCTTACAGAAGTATCCTGCCATACCTTATTTTCAATAACAGAAGTGATTCGCATGCCAGTCCTACAGGTATAGACAATTATGTTTTCACAGCCATCCATTACTTTGGCATCTCCATTATTAACAACAGACTTGCAGATAGCCCTGTTGAGTTGCCAGCTGCCTGCCTCTAGATATATGGCTTTAATTCTGGGTTTGCATTTTTCTGCATAGATGTCAATGACAAAGGGGCATGCCTGCAGTGGAGAAGAAGAGTTTTAGCATCAATTTATCCTTGGTTTTTTCCTTCAGATTTTCATCCATAGCTCCTAGGGATTTTCATGTATGCTCTGGAGTAAAATTATCCAAATGAAAGTACGTCACTAGGTATTAAAAATTCAAAACCTGAGAGCTGTGGTGATCTTATGAACAGAGTGAAAGGCCAGGACAAAAGAGTGTTCTTCATGCCAGTTCCAATACACTGGATAGGCAGTTTGGTGCTTTCCTCTCCAACGTAACAAATCCTTTCTTGGATAGCAAAACATACAGGAATGAGTATGAAGTACTGATTTATTTCACTTGCTGTTTACTTTTTCTTACACTAAGTAACAGCACCTTGGTGTCTTTCAAAAGGCTACAGGAATCCATTAGGATTTTTCAGCTCTGCCTTGAACTCGATAGGCTCAACGCTCCTGAAATATCACACTCTAAATCACTGAAAAACCAGGAAGAGGTTAAATTGCAGACACCAGTTAGTACATATACCCTGTTAGATCAAGAACTAAATTGTTCAGAAAGCTACATTTTCCTTTGGAAAGCAAGAACTACAGACATAAAGCCATAGCTAATATAAGACACAACGTACCCAAAGAAACTTCGAACGTGATAAAACCTCCCCAAAAATCTTCTTTCTTAGAGGATAGCTCCCTCTTATGGGATAAATGCAGAAAGACACTTTTGTAGTTGCTATGCTAGGCCTACTTGTAGGAAAAGGAGAAAGTGCTGTTCCTCAAGAAATCATTCACCACAATCTCAGGATTTTCAGTGAGAGCCAACCAAAATTTCTCTGCCATACTGGATTGTTTGGGTCTGCATTTATGTTTCATACACATTTTTATATGGGGACTGTATAATCATATGGTCCTAAGCTATTTTAACTAAAGCTAAATAAATAATAGACTAAACAAACAAACAAAAACAGATCAGGGAAAAGACAACAAGATAAATTATGAAATTATGTGCACATTTTATGTCTTCAACGTTTTTTTCTTTTTTTCCCCTCTTCATTCAAAATACCTTTTTCCTTTAGTAAGAACTATTAATGCCAATGCTGATATGGGTTTTTAAAAGAATCTGTAAGCACATAATTAAACCAGAGAAATAACACCTGGCCCTTTAAGCAAACAGTGTGCCACCCAAAAGCTCTTTCACTCCAATTTTATATGGAACCCATTCAGACACTGTTGTGTAAGGCACCATTCAGCCACATCTGAAGATTATTAGCTCTGAGTCACATCTGGGGTGGGGTTGAAATTATCTTACCCTAGCTGATATAACACACTCTAATATTTCAGAAATCCACTCCTATCACCCCATTCTCTAGCTGACATTTGTGTTAGTTTTTAAGTTACTGTAAGCAGTAATCACTTGTTTGCATTACAGTAACTTTTACATCATGACTGATGGCTTCTGCTGCAGCTTGGGTCAGGAAGGTGACTAAGTTCTGAGTTCTGTATGCTTGCTGGCAGGTCACAGATTACTACCACTGTCTTCTTATCACTGCTTACCAGCAAGGTGTATGAATTTTTTCAAGGGATATAACCCAAGATTCCCACTGCTGCTATCCCACAAAATGCTGCTTTGTCTAAGGCAAAAGATAAATCCTGTCTTACAATCGTGGCATTTATTCTAAGAAGCAGAATGCCACAGTGACTGAAAATTATCAGGTAAAACCTGCATCAGCAGCGTTTGGGTTGGAACACTGATCCAGCAAAGTCAGTTTGTGATGGACAGAAACAGCACTGCAATTAAACACATGCAGCAAGTTGTACATAAAGCAATTACTTTGCTGTACGGCTATCATACCTCTGTCATTTCTAATGCTTTGTTGTAGCCCAGTGACAATAAAGTGACCCAAAGGTCACTAGGATCCCCTTCACGGTCATTGGCTTCCATGAGATTCAGATCCATAAATCCTTGTCTTGTTAGTTCATTCTTCTTCATATCAAAATTCTCTGAAAAGAAATGCAAGGTAACACCACAACAACGTCTGTTCTCTCTGCAAACGCCCTTTGTCCTTCCAAAGCCAAACCTGTACTTAATGAGATTTACAAGACTGAGCCATCTTGCAGCCTCAGGCTCTCTAAGCATGCTTTGGGAATGAACGCCCTTGACTTCATGCCAGCCTTCTGCAGGGCTGCACTGTGGATTTTAGATAATGCCAAGAAACTCTGCACCCTTTGTACAGCCCAGAAGATGATGAGATTTCCAAAGAGAAAGAATTCATATTGATTTTTTTTTGTCTTTTGTTAGCAGTATCTGTGGCAGTTGAGATTTGCAGAATAGGGTATATTAGGAACGGGAAATGAAAGTGTGATGGGGCCAGCATCCTTAGTGCTTGAGGTCCTTGATATAGGAGTGATTTACTTAGTTCTTAAAAAGCAATAAAACGCCAGTAATCCTAGCACCCTTCTTTTGATGGAATATGGTAGATTGACCAATCTAATGTCAGCAAACACATAATTGAAATGTCCTTGTGTCAGCGATTCTTAAAAATGGTTTTCTCATCTTCATAACAATGCTAAATCTTTACTATATATTATTAAAAAGGGATTACCAGTTTAATAAATCTATCTAAGGGTACAGATGCTGTAATAAGCGGCTGTAACTTTGGTGTCAAGATTTATAATATTCGTCTGAACCCTTCAACTGATTAACGACCAGGTAATACATTCACCATATTCTCTTCTTTCCTCTTTTAAACACATCACACACACTCCCCCTTTTCGCACTGAGACCAGTTCACAGATACAGAACACTGACAAAGTCATAAAGCGAGGAATAACATGGAAAGGGACGAAGGAGACATTGATTTATAGGGAAGCATTTTTATATGATCTTTCCATAATTTAGGAAAAAACTCCAATATATCTGAGTGATTTGGGGAGAAACAGTTGGCAGGACTTGCCAGGTCTCAAGTATTTTTTGGCCTAAATTAATCAATGTGTCATAGCCTGCAAAGGAGTTATATCTAACAGATGGCACAGGCTGATATTTAATGGCATACCATACTGGCATTTCAGACACAGGTTGCAGAACTATTTTTTGTACAGAAACTTCTAGTTTACACACTACGCCTTCTACATTTCCAGTTTGTCCATTAGTTTCAGTTAAACTGCCAATGCTTTGAAACCATTGATTTAATGCACTGTGTTACTACAGCAGCACACAGCCACTGGTGGTTACATTTTTCTACCCTTAGGAGCTAAATATGTGCAGGGTTAAAGCAATGCCACAGAATTTCTTTTTTCCTCATAATTGATGTCCGTGGCCCAATATTGCTTCTGCAAGCTGCAGGATGTCCACTAACATTGATGGTATGAATCTGCAGACAGAAAGTAAAGTACAGCTGAAAGAAAATTAACTATCAGCTTCCTCATCTGACTTATAGGACCTCAAAGTCTCACAGCTCTCATCTAGCACAACATGGACAGACTGACACACCATATATGAACCTTTAAAAGACAGATTTCTAATGAAAAAACTGCTTACACCCGAAGAAAACACATAGTTGCAACAGCTGCTTTCTAGTATCTACTTTTCTAAGCAAGCATAATAAGCTCTAGATGCCCTTGCTTTAAAGCATCCTATACACGCTGATTAAATGCCCCTCTCAACACCTTATGAGCTATGAAAGCAGTATCAGCTTAAGTTGCAGAAAAGAGATTAAATCAATGAATATCTGTTATAGCCCAATTCTCTATATGATCTGTGCTTAGAAAACCTGTATTTTTGGCAGCTGTAACAGTTTTAATCTACAGAACTTTGCAATTAGCAATAGGAAGAATTTCTTAACAGAAGGACAGTGGCACACAAACCAGAAGAAAGCAAAATGAGGGACAGGAGACTGAAAAGTAAAACATGATACTAATACACACGTGTGTTCTTGGAATAGGCTACAAAATACTCAGTCCTCCTTAACTATATACACAGTAGGGTGCTACAGACCACAGTTTGCAAGTAGATTTATAGTCCTAAGTAGTTGTATTTTGCAGAGCAACAGACTTACCCTTACATATAGCCCACACTTCCTCATCACATGTCTCACCACTAGTTCTCAGTTCAAAGAAATTGTATTCCTCCAAACTCAGAAGGCCATTTCCATCCAAATCAATTGTTTCAAATATATCCAATAAAGCTGCTCTAAAAGATGAAAAAAGCAGAACCGTTTCCAAACATTTTCATCTTCTCTGCCGTTTCAGTAATTACAAACACTGTTGGTAAATAGTAAAGAATGTCCTTGAGAATATTCTATGCAGCTGTATTTTAGCAATTAGAAAGCTAGATGTTATTTGGAGTGCATATTTTTGTATTGGTTACCACCCCTATCTGGGACAAGGACTCACCGGAACTCTTTGGTAAGAGCCAGTTCACCATCTTCATCTCTATACACCAGTTTTGCTTCTCCAGTAATTGGTGTTTTTGCCTTTTTCAGCCTACAGCCTGTTGTGAATGGGAGTAGCCAGTACACTCCTGATGGAAGCTCCCCTTTCCATCCAAACATCTACTCTTAAAGGAAGACAGACAAACCTGTAGGTTACTTGTCAAATGGTACCTTTCTTCATTAGCAGTAATAATCATACATAATTGATTAATTACTTGAGAACACTGGTAATGCTAGTCTCTTTCCTTAAAACAAATGCAAACCTGGAAGAAGCCATGTGATGCCTTTGTGAAGGCCCCAAAACCACTCCTAACTGCACTGCACTACAAGTTAAAAAAATTATTCAGGACCAGAGATGAGGGGAGAACAACTGGAAGCCTCTAATAGCAGATCCATCATCTTTCAGATTTTCAGCTCTCTTCAAATCTTAAGCTTTAATACACAAGCAGCCAAAATTATGCTAAAAAACCCACCTGGTTTTGCATTCCCCTCCTGTTGTATCAGGTTTGTTCAAACTAGCAACAAAACCTTCCTGTGTAAAAATTCACAGGTAGCAGGTTTTAAGAAGCAAGCTGACTTCCCTGTTGCTTGGAAGGGGAGAGTCACTGCCCCCTGCCATCCCTCTTCCCTTCTTTCTGCTACAGTGCAAGAATATCCTGTGAACCGTAAAGTTTAAGATCATGCATGTGTCAAGAAGAAAGAAAATGAAAGGAAATTGTAACAAATGTTATAATTCTGAACTCCGGGTTTGAGCATGCAGAAATGCAACTTAGTTTCCACAGAGTATCTGTATAGAGAGCCAGCAATCTGGGCATGCCTGCCAACCTGCTACTTGAGAATACGGCCCTCTCAGGAACTTCATTAAATTTCCAAACACGTGGCTTGCAATTCAGCCCATCCAAAGGTCAGAAGGAAGACGGCATTACATCACCTTGCATAAATTCTGCCCGTTTGGGAAGGCAACACGCACAGAATGCTTCTCTCCTCTACTCTGATTAGGCACAGCTCTGAATTCCTTCCAAACACACACAAGCTCACCCGTGTAGCAAAAACAGGTATATTAAAGATACAAAAAACCATCTAGGAATTTAACAGAAATATCTGACCTCTCTGTTTTGCTGGTCAGTAGAGCAGACAAGCTGCAGATTTTCTGTGGTTTCATTTTCCTTCAGAACATACAACACCGTATCCACTGACAACCAGTGACAAGATTTTCCTAAAAAGATAAAAAAATGCTCAAATTCTTAACAATTTCACAAAATTGTTTGTTCTTTGAATCCCAAGGTAAATAATTCCATTGCATTTATAGCATTGGTCTCTGTTAAGGTAAGATTAAAAAAAAAAAGAAACCATTATATGCTATCAACATTTTCTTCCTATTTAGACAAATCAGAAAAACTGTTACAAGTAATGTAATTGTCTTACAGATAATGGTTGCTATTAATCATTCAGATATTAAACACTTTGATAGTGAAGGAAGCTATCTGCATTGTTTTCTACAAGTAGTAGAACGTTATTTCTTATTAGTTTTCTTTATACAAATATGTTTGCAATTAAGGGCAATATCAAGCTTACAATCTCTTCTGACATTCCATAAAACATTGTTAAACTCTTCTTAACTGGAAACTTATGTTACATGCAAAAGCTAGAGATATCAAAGGATGTGTAACGCTGAAAGATGAGTAAATTTTAAGGTTTGAACAGCAAGATCCCCACACGTGGCATCACTGGTCAGGATGACTGCAGTGAAGGTCTTAAATATATTCAGTGGATGCTACTAGAATCAGTTTGATTTCGTGTAGCTGCTCAGTCCTTGAGAGCAGTCAATCAATGGGCAATTTAGTGTTCTTGAAGTTAAATAGGCTACACCAAAAGAACACATGCAATGGAGGGACTCAGTTGTCTGCAGTTAGGAGTTAAGGATAATAAGGAGCAAACAAGTTTGTAGGAAATTTGAAGATATTCTGAATCTCCTAAAAAGGTAACTGTCGTGCTAAAAGAGAAATACTTCCCTTACATAACAGTATTATGCCTTCCTCTTCACAACCAAACACCAAGATATTTCTATACATGGGACAATAATGTGCAAAAGAAGAATTTGTGCATAAACTGTTACTCTTTTAGTCGCAAGGAACGCCTGAATAATCTTGCAGCAGAATAATTCAACAGCACAATTTAAGAAGCTGACACGTGGCAAAAAGAAAGCAAAAGCTATAAGCAGAACACTGAGACACCATCAAATCATTTAGCTTCAGATCCCTTTTATTTACCATTAAAAGTCTGTTGGTCAGGTTCCCATTTCAGCCAGGTTGGAACTGGAGAATTACTAATTTCAGTTAATTATTTGCAGTGAAGCTTATTGCCAATTTCAATTACCAACCTATCTTAAAAATGCTTAGTTAGAACTAAGTATGCAAATACATTGTGTGTCTGGAGTCTAGGAATGTAAGACATTGGCCAACTACAAAAAGAAAGACAACACAGTTTGATGTTATTTCACTGCCCACACAGAGAGAACAAAATAACTAAGGAGAATAAATGGTACGACAAGTAATTTGTATTTTTAATAGGACTTTGCCAACAGAGAAAAATATTGCAGTACTATGATGTTTGCAAAATATCCCTAAATACTGCAGGAGAGAAGAGGCAGATGCATCAGTGAGGAAAATATATACATTCTTTAGAAAGGAAAATTCTCTGAAGAGATACAAATATTTTTACCTTCTATTTGACGAAGGCGTAAAGGCTTGATAGTTATGCACACTGCAGACCTCTGAGGTAAATGCAGCCTGTACTTATGAGCAACGATTTCACCATCCTCCTCTAGGTAGAAGCATCCCTTGGATTGAGCACATTGCCATTCCTGGAAACCGAGTAAACATTGAATGTTGCCTCAATAAAAGATTAAGCCAGAAGCTCATTCTGTAAAATACATTAATTTGATGATTTAAGGAATGCTGCATAAAAGATACCCCAAGGTGTAGCATCAATCTTCTCTTTTCTTTTTTAATGAATTCCCTCAGTCTCTTTCAGCTCCTGCAGACAAGCCAGTAACACGGCTTTACTTGTAAAAATGCTCCACAAATGTACAGATCACCCCAATTCTCAAATGGTTAAAATGAAATGTTAATTCTCTTGAAGAACCAAACCAAATTCATGGAAGACTCTCAGCTGTGTGATTGACCACTGAGATGCTGGAATTTTGCTCCATTACTTCTACAAGGACAATCAAGCAAAAAACCCTAAGGGATTAGCTGAACAAAGAGTTCTTTGCTCAAATGACAAGCACAGGTAGTAGTAAAATCAAGTGTTTCTTCTTGTCTTCTGCCAAAGCCATTGGAAAGACACAAACAGAAGACAGCAGTGTTTGAGAAGAGCTTCCTGTAAGAAGCCATGATTTTACTGAGATGTTGAAACTGCTACACAATTCAAAGCTATTTTTTTTCCCCAATAGCAGACCCCAATTTTCAATTTCTAATACCATTTAGCTAAAGAGAAATAAAGCCATTGTAGCCATGTTGTATGCCATAAGGAAAGGAGGACATTCTCGATTTCACTCCCTTGGTCTTGATTAAATCCATTATTTCTAGTTACTTTCCTAGCAATAGAAGATTAAGTTTCTGAGCATAGCCTAGCAGAAGGAATCTTTCAGTGTAATCTCAACAGACAGCTCTATACAAGTGGCTGTAACTATGCAGAATATTCAGTGCAAGACGTAAACTAGCATTGATTTCAGAAATGAACTGATGAAAGCAGAGGTCTGCATGCAACAGCCAGTAAACAGACTGACTCCTTGCTTCACTGAAGGCCAAACAGCCTTCATCAGAATCCCAGCTTTCATTTCACACCTCTTAAAGAATCAGTTCTCATCACAATTCCCTCATGCTCATTTGATGACACTTTACAGTCAGTGATCAAAAGGTGTCAGACAAGAACCGGACTTTCCTAGTGAACTGTACCCAGGTTGCTAACACAGTTAGGAATGCATGCAGCTCTGATCCTAAATTTAAGTTTTCTGTTCACAACCCTAAATTTTGTAGGAATAGAAATTTCTCAGGGACTCATCAATTTAAGAACCCTTATTCCTGTCCAAATGAACATGCAACAAATTGAGATCTTTCCTTATAACTTGACACAATTGAGGTAACTTGTTAGTTTCCATAGTCTCTAAGCTTTGTACCTTATAAAATGCTTAGAAAAAAACCCAATCCAAACAGCTCAAAGTCAAAAAGCCAAGTGTACAATACAGTGTTCAAGCAGCCATCCAAATGTGCTCTAGCTGTTCAGAAAGATGCTCTAACAGTTTTCATATACAAAAATTATTCTAGCACTTCCTATTTCCCCTTCCTCACTGCGGCAGCAGTCTTCCAATCATCAGCTCACAGTCCCAAGCAAGCAGCTTTGCCCTGCTTATCTTCCATATTCCAGGCTGTTATTTCAGATGGATGACTACATTTTTTTTGCAGTTCTGCATTTGGACAGACGTTGTTACAAGAGAACACTAGCCAAAGCAGCAGGGAAAATACCTCAAGAAGTGCCACTCAGATTAAGATGGGAGAAACGGGAAGCAAAAGCTTGACAGTGCTTTAGGAATACTGAACTGTTATTCCTGCAGTGAGCAGAAGGTGGTGCTACATTCTCTATCCTTGTCAGACCACAAACAGGAATGGAAACTAACGCAGCTAAAAGGTGATCTTCTGTTTTGATTTTAATATGCAGCTTCAGTGCAAAACAGGGGATGTGAAATATAAAAGCACAGGGTTATCAAATAGTAGCTAAAACAAGGAGAAATACTTCCACTGGAAACATTAGGGAGTTCCACTGCTGTCACTGCTGGTCACTGTCCAAATAATGTACAAATAATTGCCATTACAATGTAAGTCATTATTGAAACTGTCCGTGCACCGATGCACAACTACAACTAAAAAGCAATGTTTGCAAAAGGAGTTTTTCCTCCAATTAAAGAATTAAAGAACACAAGACTGCTTTGTCTTGTGCAAAACCTGATGAATAAGCACAAAAATTCTTGCTAGTTCAATGGCACCAAGCTGCTTTAGTATACGAGTGGGGCAGAAATTTCACAAGGATGGTCAAACACTGGAACAGGAATCCTAGGGGGGTGGCTGATGCTCCACACCTGTCAGCATTCAAGAGGCATTTAAGTGATAACCTTTAACTTTTGGTCAGCCCAGAAGATGCTGGACTGGATAGTCTTTGAAGGTCCCCTTCCAACAGAACTACTGTACTCTGCTGGTCTTTCAAGATCAAGGCTTTCCTCAGGCATTTCCTTTGCTGTGCACCGTGCATACATGTCTTCCATTGATTTCAGCAGAGTGAACGAGAAGTTGAGACTTTTCAGCAGGGACAACACTGCTACCCACAGCTGAGAGATTCTGGAACAGAACATTGCTTTATCTATTTTGTTGACTTTTGAAAACTTGATTAATACTGACAAGAATACTTTGCCAAAATGTGCAATCCCCATCAGCTGTGTATCAGTTATACGGCAGCCAGCTACACAAGAAGCCCAACAGGTTAGTTGGTTTGACTTCCACTTCATCCTTCTGTCAAAAAAGTGAAATCTGCTTCATCCAACCTCATGATGGCACTAATTTCTTATTGCCCAACAAGACAGGTTAACTGCAGACAAAATATATACATGTCTAATAATTTCTTAAACACTCAGCAGCAAAACACGGGTGCTAAGAAGAAGGCAAGCCAAGTGCCATGCAAAGTGGATACAATCTGCCTGAAAGGATGCTACGCCTCCAGTCTCTTTTGTTTTCCCCATTTATACATTTTTTCCCTTTATACAGTACATCTTCAATGCATCTTAGCAGTTTCCAGTTAATGCTTTATAATGCTATAGCTAATGGCTTCTAGAGCCACCGTTATCTGATATGCAGAATAAATGTCTTTTCTGCACTTAAGATAAATGTGCTGAATTTTTGAGCACCTGATTCCAATCCACAGCTCAGTGACTCACTATGTACACGTTCACTGACTTTGACAGAGCTTGTATTGGGTCCTTAATAGTTAGGGCTAACAAATTTAGTAGCACAATTTACACTTGCTCATGTTTACTGATAGTTGTAATTCTCACATGATGCTTATTACTAGTATTCAATATCTGCAGCTCTTTTTTTTTTTTAGTCAGCTCTTACCAGCTCATACAAAGAAAGAAGGATCCAAACTGGGAAAACACACAATGGTTTCGTGCACTACATATCACGTTTGAACAAGGTGAAATTGCAGGTTAAATTGCATGGAGGTCCAGATACCAAAACAAGACTGCAAAAAATTCCTTAGAGACAATGCTTTTAAATTTTAATATAGAACAAATGTCACTGAAGAGCAGTGTCAAAGATATAAAGGACTTCAGAGTTCAATAACAAATACAGAGTTGTTATTTGAAACAAAAATGTAACTCATGAGAACAATCAGTTCAGTTTTCTAGCAGCAGTTATACTATGTGGCCATAACCATTTTTTTCCTTTTATACAGAGGTCTCGAGGTGCACATTTTTAATGTATCCTAGCAGTTTCCAGTTAATGTTTTATATTTCTTCAGCTATTATTTTCTGTTGAAAGAAAACTAGTAAAGGTTCAGTCTAGAAAGGGAAAACAAAGGAAAAAGATCAATATTAACACTCTACAAATATTGACTTAGCAAAGTGACTTTGTTGTCTTTCTCCCACAGGAATTTATATTGAATGAGTGATTGATTTAAAAGAAAATACTGATAGAACATATTAATCTAACTGAAAATCAATATTTTCAGTCTACAGTATATATTTACAAATTAATGCCCAACAAACAGAATATGCTCAGAGATCTGTTATTTATTTCCAATTACCCTTCAAATAAAGCTTTATGATACACAATCTTTCAGACTACTTAAGCATTTAAAGTCCTCAGCAACCTAATAAATTATGCAATTTTAAATTTCTCAAAAAGTCATTAAACGTTTTCTCCAGCAGTGGCTTCATTTATAAAAAAACACACTTTGTTCTATTAAACCTTCACACCTGAAAAATTATTTTCAATAACTGGATGTCAGCAAAACCAACAGTACATGAAACTGTTAATAATAATATCAGGAAACCTTCTGATAGTTTATAGCTGCCCCTGACAAACTGTTAATAAAACATAAGCTAAAAATCAGAGAAAAACACTTTCTTGTTTAAAATGCAATACCATATCTGTCTAGAGGAAAACAGCATAATTTCAGCTTACATGATACCTTCATCGTGTTGGGCTCAATTAGGTTTGTGCTTCTGTTGCTACTGGCACACACGCTGATGGTGGAAGAACTGGATGCTCTGCAGCTTTGAGCTGGTCTTGAAGGAGTTCTGCTATCGCCTATGAACGCAGATATTCAGATACCATGACGTTATTTACCCTACTTCTAGTGATACTTCTCGTAAAACCTTTACGGATGCACAAAGATTAACAGTGGAAAACAAGATCCTCTATCTGATAAGCTGACTTAAAATAATTTAACACAATCAGTCACTGGCCAAACATCTTTACTTTCCTGACTGTGCATCCCAGGTGAACAGGCATACAGATGGCAGAACCTTGGACTCTAAATCTGCCTGAAGGAGAAGAAATTGTTACCACGGGATTCAACTTCCCTTGGAATCACAGTAAATCTGCTCTAAGTGGAGAAGTTGAACCTGCTTCTAATCCACAGCTGCCCAAGAAAATTACTCACAGGCCTTTACTTCCTGATTCCTTACCTGAGAGCTACTACAGTTGATGATTTAGCTACACACATTCACCCCTCATGGTTCTTTTGTTAGCTTTGCTCTTCTTCAGCATTTCTTAGAACTGAAGTAATTTAAACAGCACACATTTCACACATAAATAAATATTTCATATATGGTACTTCTGGAATCCATTAGCTATCAGACTTCCTTCTGTTTGGGAAAGTTTTTGTAACTTCAAGCACAACCAATGAGTTTGATGTTCCTCCTGAAAAGTGGCCTCAACAGCTGAAACACACTGCTTATTGACAGCTGCTTAAGGTTTCATCTCTGATGTGGGAAGGAAATAATTAATTTGCTGTTGCAATATCACAGCATTCCTTTTCTGTCTTCTCTCTGGACTGTGAGAATCATGTGAGAGTCAACCAAATTCACCTTTAAGAATTTGCCAGCTTCAGATAATAGATTCAGCCCCAGTCCATTTAAACACGGGTCAGATATTCTACTGACACACTGAAGCAGTTGTCACAGTGGGAATGAATAAATGCAGCCTCGCTTATTTGTGAAAAATTAAACAGTGCTCAATTGCTCATTAAGTCTGAACGTGATCTCTGAAAAAAACTAATGCTCCCAATATGAAAAATAAATACCTTTGGTTGGTGCTGGTGTGTGGTCAGCTTTCCTCGAGATTTTCAGCGATGGTTTTGATGCTGGCACTGTGAGCCCTGCAGGGGAAGCTTCAGCTTCACTTCCAAACTGCCGATGCCTCAATCGATCATCAGCCTCCAGTTTCTCTAGTGCAGTCCTGCAGCACTGCTCACTGGTCGCCACATATAAGTCACAAAACTTGAGACAAAGGAAAGTAATGATGATTCTATGATTCTGTGATAATGCCGTAAGCAAAAACATCCTTTCTCACAGTTTTAAAAATTAGAAGTGTAACATTAGTAATCGAAGCAGAGATGTAAAGCATTCTTTCTCATTATATTTACTCACAGTACTCATTTTAATTTCTTTAAATCAGAGTGACTACTCAAGAAAGACAGCAAAACAGAGCTGCGATTCAACAAGGAGGTGGAAATACAGAAAGAAAATATTCCAGCCCAAGAACTTTTCAGCCCAGGAGATGATCTATTTTTCTTTTGACATTATTTTTAGGTAGGATTTTAATAGGGAGCTGCTTTTCCTCTGTGAAATTATATTTACGTGCAAATCTTTGTGGGCTGTTTATTCAGTTCAAAGCTTAGCCATTGCTCAGGCGTCAGAATAATTGATAAGATGCTGCATCTTCAAAACAAGGTGCTCCATATACAAAATAATGTCCCCCACATGAAGAATTATGAAATGTCAGACACAGCAGCTCTCACAGGTTAGCTGTTTGCTGTCAATTGCCATCTTTATCCTGCCATTCCTTTCACTCTCATCCTCACACATGTTGTAGGCTTCATGCTTACTGTTAGGCTGTGCCTATAACGTCAGGTTCACTTGCAGCAGATAACAGCAAGGGCAGAACACTGTGAGATAAAATGAGGGAAACAGAAAGACGTAGCCAAATACATACCATGTTTCAGGATGTGGGCAGCTGGTGGGCTGTGGTGAGGTCACCAGTGGACCAACACACAGAAGCAGTACACGCTGCCTTTAGCAATACCATTACTGCCATAATCAAGAACATGTTTGCCTTACCTTCTTGTAATCCAGTTTGCCATTGCAGTTGAAATCAGGTAATTTAGTTACTGCGTTCACTTCATCCAAAGTCATTTTTTCACCTTCCTGCAATGAAAAGCCAACTTAATTTTAGTTCCTAATCAAGAATACTGACCACCTACATCACATGTTTACTAAAACACAAAGAAAGATTATTTTAATACCCTTAAATTGTTTGACTCACCAAAGTAGAGATCAACATTATAAAAAATATGTCCCTGCAACATTACTAAACACTGAACAGATGAACTGCATCAGTTTATACAATTTTGTGCTGCCTCCTGGAAAGCCCCTGTGAATGACACTTCAATTAATCATGGATCTTCCATACACTGCCCAATTCCTGTTGCCAGTCATTCTCACTTATAATACAGCATGCTAACAAACAAGTTCTAGCTTCTTAATAGCCTTTTTCACTCATAAGCTACCCTCTTACACTTACAGTAGATGAGTCCATATCTGCAGTTTAATTCACTACAAGGCTTATTTCACATACGAATTTGCCTTGCACCTGTTTATATTTGGAATCAGTGTGAATTCAAAGCAGTTTCTCTCCTTTTGGAACCACGTTTGAAGCTGCATCACTATTTTGAGTGGCCCACTTGCCACAGGGGCATGAGCTGTATCTGTCAGGAAGAAAGCAAGCCTTTCCCAAGGTCCTCCAGCAATTTCCTCTACACAGATGGATGGGGCTGTTACCATGACACAGCAACACGCAGCTCCCGTACAGAAATCTACTTCAGGTCACTTTTTAGCTATAGATGCGTGGTGTCAATCAGGACCAAAATCTAATGTGAACTTCACTGCTGGTAAGCATGTGATGCAGACATATGGTCCTGGTACCACATTGCTCCAAATCAAATCCTCATCCTCCCCATTTTGAACAGCTCCAGTTGCTTCTGCAGGTGTGTCCAGTGAGTTCTTCAGCCTGGGTTTGTACAAAGCAATGCACTGACTTAATGTCACATTTCAGGATATATAGATATTTATGGCACAGCTACAGGAGCACTCAACATCACGGAATCACAGAATTGTAGGGGTTGGAAGGGACCTCCAGAGATCATCGAGTCCAACCCCCCTGCCAAAGCAGTTCCCTACACCAGGTTGCACAGGTACAACATCTGTCACTTCTGTTTTCTACCACATAAAGAATGTTTTCTTGCCATTGCAACTACATTTTTCTGTTCATGTTGAGTGAGAATTGAATGTTCTGCCACCACAATGGAAGTTAACAAATAATTATTGTTAATTGGGTCAAGCATAACAAATATATCGTATGAATTATTTCTTCCTTCTTTTCCAATTTACTCTTCTCCACATCTTCTGGAACTTGTGTTATACTCACTTCTGACAACAACAGAAAAATAAAAACAACCACCATGAATCAGTTATTAACTGTTTTGATCAGGAATACAGGCTTACACGTTCAGAATACTTGCACTAATTCCCAAAATCTCTATTAAAGTCTAAGAATGGATAATTAAGTTCCTACTGACACTTACTGTTGTCAGAAGTTGATAAAGTTCATCATGTAAAATATAACCAGTGTTATCTCTGTCTATTTTCCCAAATGCTTCAAGCAATTCAGTTTTTGCAGATGGTGTCTCTTCTTTTAAAATAGTACAAAAATCATCAAAATTCAGCGTGGTTGTTTGTGAAGTCCAGTATTTATTAACTGTCTTCTGAGATGGGTTTCTTCCAGCCTGTTGAAGAACTGAACAATAAAACATTAAGCCCATATTCCAGCTGCCAGTAAAGGAGTTGTCTCAAAACGTCCTTTAACCACTTCCCATCTTCTGATTTTTTTTTAACATATATTTTCAAGACTCATCAATTCAAGGGAAAACTAGCTGTACAAGACAGTTTTGTTTATAGTCTCAATCCTGCATTCTGCTGAGAGGCTGACTGTGACCTTCCCCAGCCTGGAATTCTGTGCTTCCTACCAGACAGGTCGGAGCAGCCTGAGGGGCAGATAAGGGATCATGAAAGGAGCAGTTTCTGTTTCTAGGCCTGCATTCTTCTGCACTCACAAACCATGATCCAGCACAGAGCTGACAGGTGCCACACTGCTGAGAAGAAGCCAGAGTGCAATATTCTTACAACTGAAAAGAAATACAAAGTTTTGTTGTTTGCTGTGTTTTGTTTTTGGCTAAAAGCTTTGACCCACAGCTTTCACTTACTGCTTACTCATTGCTACTGTTCTCTTAAGGTCAGTGGGATGATTTCCTTAAATAAAATCAGCAGAGTCAAAACCTTAGTGAAGCAAAATACCCACGACTTCAAAGACAGCCTCCTTAAGTGACAGGTATACAACTGTCTGTATCCTCTGCTTTAATATCAAGAACTTATTATCTTGTGAAAGCCTGCAGAGTGAAAGCTGTTTCTTCTGAGTTTTCCCACTCACTTTGCCAAGAATCTTGTGTAGATTTATCTTAAACAATCTTTTAACTCACATCCATACATTTGAACTTATCAATTCATATTATGCAACGTGAATTTTAAATGGAAAGTGAAAATGACACTGCTCCTACATTTGGTATTCTTCAAAATGCATTAGCTGGAACTAGCCTGCCTCCCAAAAGCCCTTCCTGAAAACAGCCTTCTTTCAGTTCCCAGTGTGGAGCAGGTATGACGTTGGACTACAATCAAACACAGCCTACCTGAAACTGGAGATACGCTTTTGAATCTTCCCATATAATAAAGTGTTTTAGGAAAACATAAAAGAGCTGACATTTATCGAGGCTGGCACTTAGACTTTTAGCCAGCTGCCTGATGACCAAGTCTGCACCAGCTGAGAACAGTTCAGCAGCACCCCTGCAATGAGGTGGAGGCATTGCTACAATGTTCAGTAGGCAACAGTGTCACCGTAAAAACAAACAAACAAAACCAGACACCTTTGTTGTTAATGTCAGGCTGAAAGTCAAGGACTAAATAAAGGTTTCTGCCCTAACCTCTCCAAGCAGTCAGGAGAACATAGCAAAGCTTACATCTTTACCCAGGCTAAAGTTGGGCACGCAGCTATTGTTGGATTTCAGTACAAGGTCAGACAAGGAAAGGTGGTTACTCACTCTGTGTTCAGCTCCCTGGTAGCAGAGCTCCCTGGAAGATCAGTGCAGTGCAGCATTAACTTACATTTAACTGAGTATCCTTCAAACATATGGCAACACTACATCCTATACAACCTGAGATAGCAGTGCTTGCTATTCACTACACCTCTCATAGAATCACCAAGGTTGGAAAAGACCTAAAAGATCATCCAGCTCGTATTTATTCATCCTTCTTTACAGAGCCATTCTGCTAAACACACCAATTAATCCTGCAGTATGCAATATTGCATCACACATAATACAGTATGCAAAGTAACATTTTGCAGGGCCAATCTCTATGTGGACATTGCAGTTCAGATTATTATTCAAACATCATGCAGCCACAGCTGCTTCAAATGGAGCGCGCTCACTTGATAAGTGCCAGAATTTACTGAAATTGCAACATAGGACTACAGTAACTCTCAGTACTCTCACATTATAAAAGAAGCAGGTTCTTACATCTCTGAGGAGTGGGAGCCTGATCTACTGTTTGCCCTTCCTGAGCTGACCTTGAAACCGAAATGCCCAAACACCTGGTAAGCACACAGCAGCAGGGTATGGATCGAGATGAAAGCCAAACCACATATAAAAGAGATGACACTTGTTCACACTGCTCCTATTTTAAAATCCAGACCATCCAAAGCTATCATTAGGGCATTATAAAAGTACTTTATTACAGCCCAGAAAGCCCAGATAATGCTAAGTCATATGCAGAAAGAACATGTTTGCTAATGCACAGAATTTTGTGTATCAACATAAGGAAAGAAGCTACCAGAAATGAAAAAAAAAATAAAAATCAGTGCATCAGAGACACACACCGAGCTTTTGTGCTGATGGCTTTAGAGGCAGATACCTACTGCATTTTAGCCATGGACAATGCAGCAATTAGTGACAAACGTTTCCTCACGTGTGCAGGAAAAAAGAAAAGCGGTCACTAGACTTCTGCCCTAAGTAAATGATTTGATAATACAGCATGGATTTTTACTCACAGAATCACTAAGGTTGGAAAAGACCACAAAGGTCAGCCAGTCCAACCATCAACCCATCACCACCATGCTCGCTGTTTACAGAGACCACAACTCTGCTGCTCAGTTCTGGACATGGTGTACTCTGGAGTCAAAGTCTGGGTGCTGAGCACCTGGTAAGGGAATCGAGGGCACTGCGCCACCATCCTTAAGCCTTTTTTCCTTTAGTTGTTTGCTGGGGTTTTTTTCATTACAAACAATTGTACACCAACACAAACACCACAACGCACAAACTGCTTGCTGCCATGATAATCTATTAGGAGAGCTTCAGAGAACAACCTGTAATATCAACAGTCCCAAGTGTATTATGAGCTGTATCTTGAAACCCGTAAGGTCAAAATAAAAACCATGGCTTTTAAAATTACACATTTGGGTTCTTTTCATCTAACTGAAGGTTTATGTTCTCATACTTTCTTTGTCAGCCATGTGAGCTGGAAGTATTTCTTCCAAATGAAGCCAGCCGTGATTTTCACATAACCACAAAACTCCAGGTAGAAAATAAAGAACCCAGGAAGTGTGTTTCAGCCCTAACACAACCCCATGCTACTGCAGACAACCACAAATAGTCCTTCTCATGACATAACAAAAGAAAAACAAGAAGAAAAAATAGTAAGATACAGCCCACAGCAATATAAATCCAACAGATGGCACAGCTGATACGATATTTGCTTGAGAAATTTTATATGAGGAAGCAAAACCTATTTCACAACGGAAACATATTATTACTTATCCCTTATCTTACTCTGTCATTAAGATGATGTCCAACACACAGCTGTCATTTCTCAGGTCAGGTTACCTAATTATGCTTAACGATTCCATGCAAGGAGCATGGAAATGCCATAGATTTTCGAAACAAATTTGGTACTTTCCACAGCTTCCATTATCTATCTACTCTCACCTTTATTCAGCACAACTGAAATGTTCAGATTTCTTTTCCCCCTGTGGTAATGCTGACAGCAATACCACTTGTACAGAGACACTACATATACAGTCTATAGAAACTGTTTAATTAAGTAACAGTTTCAATAAAAGTAAGAATCCTTAGAAAACACCAATGGCTGAAATAGACCGTTTATAAATTTGGTACCAGAAAGGTGGCATTTTCACATATTACTCAGATAAAGTAGATTAGAATTGATGAGGCTATCAGTAAAGGTGGTAATACTGACAAAACTTCTCACATGAATCTGCCAACCTCTGTGCCAATTAATGCCAGTTATCATGGTGATTTTCTGTGATTAGAGTGGCAATTGTCAACTAGAAATGAACTGTACCAACTCACTGAGTCATCTGTCAGGGATAGGAAAGAATGTACTGCAGAAATGTCACAAACAAAGAGCAGTTCCTCTTCCCCATCCCCTGCAAGCAACAATGCTTCCATCAGATTTGGTGGTGTTCAACAGCTCACTTACGAACCCTTGTAAGCTGTCAGCTGGTATTGACTTTTGCTCATTCATACTGGTGATTTAGAGATGAAAAGCTCTGTAACTACTACCAGTTCCATGAGCCATCCAGCAACAAAGATTCAGGATTTAAAGAAAATGAAAAGCATTGAGGAATGGTAGTTTCTGTATACTTTGAAAAAATCACAGTGATATATTTTACAACGGGTAAATAATGGATATCTCCAAAGATAGAGCAACCAGAGCTTGAAACGTGAACCCTAGCTAAAACTACTGCAAACTCCTTACAGGAGGTACTGATGTTGTGTGCTGGGATATGCTCACTACTGAATTACTAGCTGCTATTAGTAAACTGCCCACTGCAACCATCATACACACCAGTTAGAGGGGAAAAAAAAATAAAATCAAATAATTACCCAAAGTGAGTTGTTCTTTCGATTTAATATTTTCTAAACTGCTTTTGAAAACAGTCAGGTAAGCTGCTCGACAGCTCTTGTAAAAGATAGCTTCTTCTGCATGCTGAGACTGCTTTGCTTGAGAGCCTTCTGAGTCTGTGCCTTTCTGATCGAGGGCTGCATTACTCCCAGGGCTGCTGGCCATTCTGTGAACAACACAATCACAGTTACAGCTTGGCACTCCTTTGCCTGTTTAATAACTCCTCTCTGTCCTCTGAAACACCGACCATCACAATTTATCCTAGAGCTTCAGACTGCACACTGCCCAGCATCTAACCCAGGGATAAGAGTATTAATCTACCTTCGCAGGAAAGCATCACAAGGTCTGCAAAACAAAAACAGCTTGAACAACTGACTACTTGTTATTCACCATTTGTTCTCTCTTGATAGTGAAAAGGTTTAGTTTTATTGTGTTGTATTTTCATTGCAGACATTTGACATAACAACTACATGGTCACGTTATTTGAAAGCATAATACAAGTTTTTGAGTTAGCAATGGTTTCCATCACAGATGCTGTGTTTAGAAATTAATCAGTAGGATTTGCTCTTACTCCTTACTACTAAAATTTCCACTCTTGCCATGTTAGCTAATAACAAAAATGGTGGGAGAATTTGCACAGAACTGCACTTGCTGGCTCTGATGACTTCACCACCATTCCTAGGTCCAACATGATTTGTCACAGAAGTAAAATGAATGAACATATCACATCCCGTCCCTATGACTGTTTTGCTCACAGTGCCACCCTCATTGCTGCTACTGGTCACCAGAAGTACCAAAAAGTGTTTTTTGGGGGAAAAAATCCACTGTTTGTGGGAGCCACAGAGTAATTTAAAAAGCTTCTTCACAACAACAACAAAGTAAATATCAAAGAGAATGGATGCAGCATTTAAGAGCTTTGCAGCTGCATGATCACAACTGACTCATGTGACATGGGAGTACCTGCAACACTTGTTGGTGTGAAGAGCCCTGTAAAAGGCCCCTTTGTCCCTTAGGGAAAACAACATGTAGCCATGCTTATGTTGAACTGTATACTTCTTGGAATTCCCTCTGTCACTCAGCAACCAATTTCCATCACATGAGCTAGCTGAAAAACCATCTTGCTTCATACACCTCCAGCAGAGACAATGTATAACATCATAATGACTTTACAAGGGTGGATGGTGATAGGACAAGGGGGAATGGTTTTAAACTGAGACAGGGGAGGTTTAGGTTGGATGTTGGGAGGGAGTCTTTCACACAGGGTGGTGAGGCACTGGAACGGGTTGCCCAAGGAGGCTGTGGATGCCCCATCCCTGCAGGCATCCAAGGCCAGGCTGGAGCCTGGGCAGCCTGGGCTGCTGGTTGGCGACCTGCACACAGCAGGGGGTTGGAACTGATGAGCGTTGTGCTCCTTTGCAACCCAGGCCATTCTGTGATAAACACCACATAGCATTCAGTGTTTTAAAAAAAATGATACAGCTGTTGATTGCATACTTTTTCTCTGGTGTCACCCCATAAGGGTTAGGCTTTTTTTCCTGGTTTTGCAGTTAGAAGAATGGCCAGTAGAAAAGTTGGTCAAAATTTCAAGCATATGAAGTTAAAGACATTTCATTCTGCTTTTAAGATTTATTTATGGCAATGATATTTAGGTAAGTCTGAAATTAAGCATGTGCAAAACTTAGTACTTTAACAGAATCATAGAATGGGGTGGTTGAAAAGCCACATCCAGCCTGGCCTTGAATGCCTGCAGGGATGGGGCACCCACAGCCTCCTTGGACAACCTGTTCCAGTGCCTCACCACCCTCTGGCTGAAAAACTTCCTCCCAATATCTAACCTAAACCTCCCCTGTCTCACTTGAAAACCATTCCCCCTCATCCTATCAAATTTTTTAAGAACTAATATAACTTGTTCACTATATATTTGCTAATATAACTGCAAAAGAATTTTTTTTTTAAATCACTAATTGTATTTTTTTATGAATTAAAGCAATTCCAAGCCGTAAGTACTGTTGTTTGCTCACAGGCAGCCAGCAAACTCCAACAGCAGCTTTCTGCTCCTGCCTGAGGTGATGAAAGCTTTCAGAAGGCCGTCACAGAGGGACTCTCCATCACGGTGCACTGTTGCTCTAACAGCCTCTCAGATTATTTTACCCAGCGTTGATTTCAGAAAATATCTTCCAGCAGAACAAATTGAACACCTCAAGTCCAGCAACAACAGCATCGCAGGGTCCCCTTCAGGACTCATTAGATTCTTATTCCAGGGGCCTAAATCACTCACAGCGTTGAGTTATACGGCTCTTTTACTCTTGAGCAAGAAAGATAATAATCGCTTATCATGGATGAAGTGCCCTATCTGTAACACACAGCCCGCCCGCCTGACACTTCAATACGACATCGGCATCCGAAGGACCCCACCGGGAACGGCGATACAGCCTGCTTCCTACAGACGCTGTCAGTGTCGTTAAGCACCAGCGTTACACGCACACACAACGGGAACAGGTGAAAGCCGAGGAGGAGCTCAGCGAACAGCCAACGCCGCTGAGGGGCAGCGGGGCTCCGCGCTCCCCGGCCGCGCTCGGGCCTTCCCGCCCGCCTCCCCCCGCTCCTTCAGCCATTATCGACAATCCGCCCTCACAGAGAAAACGTTCAATCCCCGCTCTCCCACAGGACGGAACCAACCTGCTCGGCCGAACCTCCCCGCGGCGGCAGGCCAGGGCGGGCAGGGCAGCCTCGGCCCCTCCCTTCACACAGAGCCCGAACACCCGGACCCGAGGGACGCAGCTCCACCGCCCCGCCCCGTCGGCGCCGTTTCCAGCCGGCGGCCTTAGGCTGCTGCACGGCGCTGGGCGGGGACGCGCGAGGCGGCGGGAGCCGTTCGAACCGCCGCGATGTCGTACGTAGCGGCGCGCGGGCGCCATTGCCCACCCTGAGGGCGTCCGTTGGCGGGGGGCGCGCTGAGGAGAAAGGCGGGCGGGCGGCCGGCGCTGTGCGGAGAAGGGCGGGTTCGGTTCTGAGCTGTCTTGAGGAGGGCGCGGGAGGGAGCCGGCTGAAACGGCCTCACAGCGGGCTGCTGTATCCCTAGGGTATTTTTAACGAAAGAATCTTAGCACCGTAGAATCGCCTGGGTTGGAAGGGACCCAAACTCCAAAGCGAGCGAGTAAAAGTCACAGGATATTAGTGAGAAACTGAAAATACGACCGGGAAAGGTAGATTATCAATACACTAGCGGTAATACACAGCTTTAACCTGAGAAACGTGAGCAACGCGTTCCTTGCTAGCTATAAAGATAAGCCATCATATTTCCTGAACCGTACAGAGTAAAATAAATCCCATTATGTGATTTTGAACCGATCTGAGTGTAGGAAGCAGAGGTAAATAAGTTATTAGTATCATGATCTCATGTGCGTTATCTTTCTGCCTCCCGTTGTTGTTCAAAGCTGGCACTGGGTTCTCATCCAGAGCCACAGCAAGGCTTTTCCAGTCATATAAAAAAGATAAACCAAACTGAACTTGGATCAGTTTTATTTCTGTGACCCCAGCCAAGGAGTCCACGTAGATTAAGCACAAATTTTAACTCGTTCTGAGCGGACAGCAGATGCCAGGAGCACTTTTTTACTTTTCCCATTATAGAATCAGGGAGACAATCTCTACAAAGAAGCCCACAGGCAAACCGGGCTGCTGAGTAGGACAGGATCTGGCCTTGGGACAAGCAGGGCTAAGCCGACCTGCTGCGGCCAAAGCTGCCCCTACGGCTCCTTGCAGCAGAAGTGCTTGTCCAGACTGGGGCTGCTGCTTCAGCATCGTGGCTTTGGGTGTTTGCAGGGTTTTGCAAGTCAGTGGAGGGCAATTGGGACTGTCATCACCTCTATTGCTGTACACAATATTTGACAGGCTTTAAATAACGCAGTCTCCACCGGTCCACAGCTTTCTCCCTAAGAAATTTTCCAATTTATAATTTAGCATGATTTTCACATAGTTTCTCATTTATCTCCTTCCTGCAGCGATGTCGGGTCTAGATTCTCCTTTACTTTGGCTTCCAGCTCTTTTGGAAGTCTGTCATAAAAACTTCCATCATAACATGCCTTAGCGTAACATGCAAATGCGTCGGTCCCTAGAGCAGCCTTTCAGAATAGGCCTATTAATAAATATGTTTCCCTGCTGCCACCAGAGCGGAAGATGTAATGGAGTCTGGATTCCTTAAGCAACGTGGGTTGGTATTAAATAAAGAAATACATTGTAAAGAATTCCATCAAACTGCTACAGCTTTGACTGCCCTTTGGCAAGAGTTTCAGTCACTGTTTTAAATGTGTTACCTGTTTATTTGGCTTTTTAAAAGACAGAGTACTCCTCTTTTCCTCTTTGTAAGAGAGATCATTATAATCTCATACACATAAAAGACCCTCACCTGAGTTATATTTCAAAGATGTTTTTTCATTCAATTTTTCCAGCACTTAAATTTGCTATTTTGGAGTGGTACTGTAAATTAAAAGAGGATCTGTTTGGAATGAGGTCATCTTAATTCCTTACAGTACGTTCTTTCCCAAGATAAAAACTGTGCTAAGATCTTGAAATGTAATGCATTTCTAAATCTTCTTCAAATTGATATAGCATATATTCCTTGGGGACTGCTCTTAGAAAGATTTTACATTTTTTTCTTCATTGTTTTATGTAATGCTTTAAACCATTAAGATTTAAGAATGTACTTTAAAAGTTTCAGTTGTCTCTGGGAAAAATAGTCTTAATTTATGTTGACCTTTCTTTCCTTTGAGCATTTAGTCTGCATTCAATAAAATTTTGATGACTGCTCTTTAGAAGACAGCTGTACGATATAAAGTATTATAAATATTCCGCTTTCCTCTCCTAGCATTGCCATTAACAGCTGGGCATCCAGTTCAGCAGAGCAGATTTTGCAGAGAGAGCTTGGCGTGCTCCTGAATCAGTATAGTGGAGAAGACTAGAAAATAGTTTCTTATGGTTTGGGGACCTGTAAAGACATAGAGCATCTGTTCCCCAGTTAAGTCATAGTCTGGTAGCACTGAATCATGTTAAGAGCTAAAATGATGGGAAGAACCACTTTTTTCACCTTGGCTGTACCTGCGTTTTAAATGCCTAATAATTCTACTAAAGGAAAAATGATTTCAACCCTTGCTCAGAAGGTATGTAAATAATAATGCTTTTGCATTTTTTCATTGTTTATGGCTTTTAGGGGACAAGTGTATATTTGGCATCCTGTGAAATTCACCTCAGTGTCTTGATTTTTATCTCTAGTATAAAAATGGAGAATTGGATTTTCCTATGGAAACATTTAATCTTCCTAAACAAGCGATGTTTTTGTACAGTGTATTTTAATTACTTAATATATTTGCTTTGGTTGAGATCATATTTTTCTTGTGTAGCATAAAAAAAAAGTTCCAGATACAAGAAAGGTAAATGTCACTGAAATTAGAGATGATAAACCTTACTGCCTGGATGCTTTGTGTCTCGATGACCGTAAAACTTGCCTGTATTTTCATTGTGCAGAGCTAAGAGGTCGCTGAAGTTGGACAGTGTTAAGAAACATAATGTAAGTATTTTTGGTGTATGAAATAATATCAGATATGTGTGCGTAGGCTTGTATACATGTATTTGTACATCAACACAGTATCTCATTAGTTAATGAATATTACAGATTGGTGCCTGTCTGGAAAATTCGCAAGAAGGCACGCAATTACTGATGAGATGCCAGTACATAATTGGTTGTGTTCTGTTTGTCCTACAACTGCCTGGCCTTAAGGAACGTGTGCCTGCACAAATACTTGAACATCACAAGAGCAATAGGCTCTTGTTATTTACCCTCACTATTTACCCAAGAGCTGAATGAGTTCAGCTACTTGGTGAAGTCATTCATTAGAAATTAGCTCCGTTATCCTGAAGCAAATGTTCTGCCAGGTAATTGTACAGGTAACAATATGGAATTATGATAATGCTGTAATCTGCATATTACAAACTGCAGAACTGAAATGAAAACATTAAAGGCATTTTCATGTCAAGGCTATAATTACCTCCCTCAGCTAATCTGGCATAATGAAACAATAAAGTACTTACACTGCAATAAATTTCACCACAGTTATCACAATAAAAATAAAATTGTACTGTTGCTATTACTTTTTGTAAATGCAGCTATAGCAGCACACCATGACATATGTCAGTTTATTATCTGCTTCTACCAACAGCGGGTGTTGCTGCAGACACCATACAGGGGTCTTTGTGAGCATTTAAATGAAGGAAAAATGTATGAAAGTACGTTAGGAGAAATAGCTGGTCAGTAAATGAGCTCCCAGTAAATCTCCACATCGGTGCCCTTCTCAAGACAACTGCTCACATGCAGCTCGTACTCAGAGGTCTCACTGTTAGCAAAACACAGTTACACAATTTTTTAAGACTTACAGGATTTTTTTTCTGTTGTTGCTGAAAGAAAGATGGCAAAATTCTGCAATAGCATTAAAAATAAATCATTAGCAATATAATTAGCAGCATAGCGTCCCATTATCCAACTTGTTCTGCTCAGAATGCAGCTGTGACTGTAATTCTGCATCTGTTTATTGGGGTGTAGCAGTGTTTCTGCACATGAGTGGCCCAGCTGAAGTTACACACAGTTCCTTCACTGCTTTAAAGGCAAGTTTTGTGTGCAGAACGGGGCTCGACCTGCTAGAAAAGGCTGCTTGTTTGGAAGGTGATGAGTCACTCCTTTCCTTGCTTCAGTTGCAGAAATAGAGACAAATCAATTTGCTCCTCAACCTCCAAGGGTCTGGAGATGTAACAAGAACGGAATAAATTGCTCATTCTCTTTCTTGGTGCATTTTGTTTTGACAGTACCATGTTTCCAAGAGGAAGGGAAAAAAAATAAATAAACCACCAGCATCACTGTTTCACTGCTGTTTCTTCTTTAAACCCGTGAGAAAATATTGGGAGGGAATGGAAAAAATGGCTTCATCTAAAAATACCCCTTATTGTCTGCATGATGTCAATATGATGTCAATAGAGTGAACTCACTCATGCATTGTATGCACTGCCCACTTTTGGAAGTGGCTGATCTCATTTGGAAGCAGTGGTGGACAGGTGGACACACCTGCTGACTGCCTCCTTGACACAGGAGCTAGGCAAGGACAGGAAAGCTGTATCAGAAGCTTTGTTTTCTGCCGTGCTGCGTGGTGTGCATTCCTGCCCTTCTGTTTGGTCACTGAATCACTGGTTACATAGCAGTGAGGCACTGTCAGGTACTGTGCACATTGCCTAATAGTCCTGCAGAAATCCCTGAGTCACTTCACCAGTGATTCCAAAGAGCGTGAGATGCAGCTGATACAAGTAGAGTCTCAACCTACACATGTTTCTATTTCTCTGCATGTTTCCTTTTTGTCTGTCACTGATGGCATCAAGTTAAGCTGCTAGATTTCTTAACTGGAAGCAAGTTCTTGCCAGCCCTCTGTGTGTCAACCAACTTGTTTTATTCTTAGTACTGGTAGTGCAGGGAAATCCCAGTTTCTCAGAGTTGCAATCTAGAGAACAAACTGCACCCCAGGTTATAGTTCAGAAATGGAGACTTCTCTGCAAAATTCCTGTACACCATTAAATTGCTACTTCTGTATCATGAAATGTATTGAAATTCTAAGCCAGAGTTTTGGTTTTAATGGACTTCTGTGTTTAGTTTTTAATTAGCAGAAATCACTGTCTTTTAATGGAACTAAAAATATCCATATGCCTAAAGTTCTCAGTAGGATAACACCAGTTTTTGACTGTTGGTTAAATAATACATGTATGTACATAGGTATGCCAGAATATCTGAATCTTTGGAAGCTATGTACTTTTTTTTTTAAATGAAAACAAGGAGGCTAAAACTGATGTGTGCACACATATGAGAGGCTTCCCATAAGGGAGAGTACATAAAGCTTGGAATTGCTTAGAAATCTCTCTCATCAAATAGGTCTCAGAGAGGCTCTGACTGATTTGGGATGCAGTATGCAGCGCTGCCGATAAGACAAGCAGAGGCCAGGATGCATTTAGTTTACAGATGGAAATTTTGTAACTTCTGTGGCTTCAGGTGGATATAGGAACTCCTCTGTCTTTAGCCAATATTGATCCAGATTCCTTTGTCTTCTACTACATTTTAGCCAGTTGAAGCAAGCCCTTCAGCCAAGCAGCAGCAGCAGAACTACTCACCAACAACAGGAACACGCCAGATAAGTCCATTCTCATCTCCCTCAAGTCATAATGCAGAGGATCTCAGGAACGGCTTATCACATGGTGAGTTGAACATCTTGCCTTTCTTACTGCAACATTTTTCTGGCTACTGGCTGGATTTAGTGATCTGTCTGTCTCATGCAGTATGTTTGCTTTCTTTTTTGTCTTAAGCTTCCCAGTTTCAGATGGAGGAACAGATTAATTTGTTCACACCAGTAAAACAACTTCATGCATACATACTGAATTTCCATATTCATAGAGGAAGTCTCAGAATTGAAGAAGTGATGTACACGTTATTAGATCAAGTGTAAAAGAAGTTGAGTTAGTCTAACCCTCCTTTGCTTCCTTCTATGTAATTTTTAACATAGTTATTCAGAGTGAGGCAGATTTTAGTTAAGCTAACAGAGCTCTGACTGTCAGGAGCTCTCAGAAAATGTGCTCTTTTATAATTATATCATTTCCATTTCATTTTAAGATATATCTCCACAGACAACTCTTGATGCAAACAAACTATGAAGTATATTTTCAGTGGAATAACCTGCTTGTATGGATGTCATAGGTTTTAAGAGTAGAGAAACCACCAACTCACCTAGTGTTACTTATCAAAGCAGTAATACAAAGACACTTATCTTTCCCACATAAAACCCAAGACCTTTTGTTTCCTTGTAATACAAGTTAAAAAAATCACATAGCAGCTGGGTTAGAAAGGAATGTAAGTCATTTAGTTCCAACTCACCTTGCAGGAGCTGGTTGCCAAAACAGGGCTTGAACCCACATCCTTCAGTGCAGTGAGGTCGATCTCTGGCTGAGCACTCTAGATGCTAGTTCAGTGCCCAGAGATGGTTGTCTCACTCTGAAGACTTCAAATATATATTAAATCACTTCTCCTGTTATCACATTCCTTGTTCAGTTACCTTTGTTATTAAATAAAAGTCTCAGGGCTGATTTTGAATTTGTATGGCTTTAGTTTAGCCATCAATACTTGTTAAGTCTTTTTGTTGGGTTAAAGAGCTTTTGATGCCCCATATAGTTTGGAATTTACGGGCAGTAATCGAGGCTTCACCAACATTTATGATGAGCGGAAATATTCTGAGCAGAACAGAATAAACCTGTTTGAAGTTCAGCCCCTAGAAAGATTTTTTTTGAAGGAATGTTTTAAGGAAAACATTATGATTCTGTTCTGTATCTCACATCTTCATCAGATGCAGCTACATGCAGTTGCAGCATGTGGCCTCCTGAAAACTAGGTTGATGTTTGCAGTGCAGGTACATACTTCCTGACTTGTCTCATCAGGATGTGGCATCCTACATTCTTACCCAGAATATAACAGCAAGGAATTAGATTCAAGTGCAGTGCCAGCACATGAAGCCTAGTAGTTAATGGCCACCAAATGAAGATTCTTTGTATTCTGAAGAAAAGAATCAAGTTAGAACAATCCATGCCCCATCCACTACAGGCATTCAGAACAGTTTTTTTTATTAACACAGTCACATCTCAACAACAGTTCTGAGAAAAATAAATATATACAACCCAGCCTTCTTCTTTTTTTTTCTAAATGAAATGCCCATTTTTGTTTCATGGCTGCCTGTACAGTATCAAAGTATCCTCCAACCCGACTGGATATTGTAAGGATAGGCAGAAACAGATACAAGTTGCTGTTAACCAGTTGCAGATCACCCAAGAAAAGTAGAGTTCACAATTTGAGGATAAAGAAAGAATTGCTTACCCCTTTCCAAGGATTGGGGCTCACTGAACTCCAAATGAGGTGATCTCCAAGTAGAGATGCTTCCCTTCCACTTGCCAGCCCTTAAATGAGCTTAGGGAGGGGTGGACCCAGGGCTGCACAGGAGAATTGCTCACACCTCTGCTCCCAGGGCTGGCCACGCTCCTTCACCAGCTGCTCAGTCACTGGTTCAGGCTGTGATCTCGTGGTTCCCATGCAGATATCTGCATGTACTTTTAAACCTTAGCTTTGCAGACAGCTTTCAATCGTTTATGATGGTAGCAGTCAAATACAAAATGAAAAATACTGTGGCTCTTTATATATGTTCTCTTGGATATTCCCTACATCCGATTTCTGGCTTTAACGACTCCTTTGTTTAGTTTCAGTCAGGTGCCTTTCTGCCACTCAACACCTTGTAGTACACTGACTCTATCACAAGTTCCAAAGCTTTTCAGCAGCTCTGCATTTGCATTACATGCCTTGTATCTTAGATAGAAGAAAAAATGGAGCAAAATGTCTCGTACTAAAATGGATGTCTATTAGGATGCCAGTGGGAAGGTGAATGCACACCGTATTTCCATGCGGTTAATAAATACAGACATGAGGAAACATTCTTTATGAAAAGACTGATCACAAGATCGTAGCTGACACTGAGGTGGATCATTATTCAGTTATTTAGTACTAGCATCCCTTTTTACCCCCATATTCATATGGCTACAGGATGGTGGGGCAGGCTTCCTCTTATATCACAGTTACAAGTTGTCCTTTTAAACCCACTATTTCTCTTTTCCTTCTGAAAAGACACATTTGAAGTGTTGTGCTGTTTGAACAGATATCACTTGTAAATCTGGTGTTAGTTGAGGTTTTGTTAATAAAGCCATGGGCTTTATTGTTGTGGCAATAACCTACTCCTGTTCCCCTACAAAACAAGGCAGTGCTGAAATAGAGAAATTGGACTCGACATGCAGAGCAATGGCAGTGGGGTAGGATTTCTCGTGCCCCATCATTTGACAAGTAACATTCTACTGTCAATACAGGATGTCAGAACCCTTGGAAATAATTTGCACCTTATTTCCTTGTAGTTGTTAACCAGATGGAGCTGGGGGCCAAGCATTTCTTATTAAAGGAAAGTGAGGGTTTCATTGCTCAGTTATTATGGTATTTCATGGTAAAGCTTTGTGCTGTATTTAGGCAGATAATAGAAAAAACTTACATGTAGAACAAAGAAACTAAGTCAGAATTACACAGACTTACAGCTGTCAATATGCTAATCCCAAGATTTCCACAAATATAAATGTCATGTGAACTGATGAGAGGTTGAATTATGAAAGAACAATTTATAGTCAAGTTAGGGTGTTTCATTACTAAGGAACCTGCCCTGTTTCATAATTGAAACACAATCTGCCTGAAAGATCATTCAGCAGCCAGTGTTCAGATTAACACTTTTTCCTGTGCTTCAGAAGGTTAATATTTTATTTTTCTCATTGTTGTTTTTTTCCCTTTCTTGTAAACCTCCTAGGAGGTGAAACTACTTCAGAAAGCAGATTATCCAGAAGAGGGCAGCCTCAAACAGTGAAGGATGCGTAAGTGTGAAAAGTGCTTTGTGGGCAGGATTCACATTTCATACCGAATTAAATGAATAGTGATTGTTTTTAATATTTGCAATTGCTCAGGGTTGGATGTTTGAAGGTACTGAATGGGAGGGCTATGGGGACGGGTTAATGCAGGGTTTGCAATGCAACAGTTCTGTCTCGGTGGCAGCATGAGGCACGTGGCACTGCCTGTAACAGGAGTCATGTCCATGGTACTACATCATGAGGCAGCACAATTAAGCTGTCTGTATAAAAGTATGCTTTGCCTATCCAGGCTCTCCTGAAGACATACCTTATTTTTGGAGTCCAAAGATGAAGGTAAAATAACCTTGGGACGCTTTTCAGTTAAGATCTGATCACAGACAACGATGACAAAACTTCACATCTGCATGGCAGAATCTTTTACAATTCTTGTATTTTCTGCCAATCTTATTTTAAGCCACAATCTTCAGATTCTTGGACTTGGAGCAGTCCACGTTTACTAAAACACTGATAAATGTTTTGGGCAAGGTATCTGATACAAGTGCTTTCCTAAGCTTGACAGGTGTGAGGAAGGAGAAATGACAAACACTTGCTCCAGCTGAGGCTGTTAGTGTCTCTTGTTGTTAGCATTGCTCAGTCTTTTCTGTTATGGGAAACACTGAATTGTTTGTAACATTGCCAAATTTCAGCTGAAATGTGGACTGGGTTTTTTTCTGCAGCAGTGAGGTGCCATGTAGGTGTGTTATGTGTTATTTGTGTGCCCTGCCAAACAATCACACCCATCCCAAAGAGCTGGGCAAAGCAAATATTTGTTTTTACTGTGATACAACTTGGTCATCTTCCTGTGAATCTCTGTGTGTTGGATTGTATTGAGGACGCCTTCCAAATTCTTGGGAAGTGATCCAATAAACACATTATCCTCAATATTCCCATGACCTTCTCCACTATTTGAACTTGACCAAAATTGCCTTCACCAGGACTGCACTGTTGTTCTTCTAATCTTACCTTCTGTGTTATTCTGCCTGCTCAGCTGGTGATCCAGCAGCTGGTCCTCTGATGTCCTCGACGTCCATCTTTGGTATCTCCTAATGAAAGTCTCATTCACAGCTCAGCATCAATGTGGTCATTCCATGTCTTCATCTCTCCTCTACAACTTGATCTGCTTTATTCTCATTCTGTGTATTCTGACTCTCCTGTATTTAATTCAGGCCCAGTTCTGGGCATCCAATTGTTATGTAGATTCTTATGTCTGTAGGTCAGGAAGATTGCTCTTCAAAATACCTGAGGTGAATTTCCTGCTGTTGCAGTTTGTCCTCGTTGAGAACTTACCTCCCAACATAAGGCAACCTCTATTGCCACACATTGCTTTGTCAGCACACTTCTGTGTTCTTTCCTTGCGTTCCTTTACCTTAAGTCCCTTTGAAACTGGAGGCAGAGTGCAAGTGCTGTGCTGCAATGGGTGGCACTGGAAGAATCACCTTGCTAGAGCAGAATTTCTGCAGGCTAGTTGGCAAGCTGGCATTAGAGGGTTGGGCTTTTGTACCTGCATGTGTTACTTTCATCATATGCTCAAGTATCTGTTATTCTGCTGTCGTTTGTACTAATTATTTGTATCACTGTATTTGATGTCCCAGATAAAAATTACCTCAGAACTACATCCACTAATGCATCCATTGCTTTTTATTAATAATATCCATGACATTTGTTCAAATAATTAATCCTGCACTTAAAGTTGTAACTCTCCCATCTGATTATTCCAGTTGTGGTGCTGATGTGCTGCTTTTCTGTTTGTCTTGTAATGGAAACTTCCCCCACCATCAGGTTGAAATTCCTTCCTTGCAGGACAGGAAGCATCTTCTTAGTGGTGGAGCCTGGCAGGCAGCAGCACTGTCTGGATGGTATGCTGGGTTGTAAAACAGAAATACTTAAAATGCAAGATAAAAACATCTTGCAGTTACAGCACAGGAAAGCTGCAGACTCCAGTACAAGGGCTGTTTGCTTTGCTTTGGGATGGTGGTCTGTGTGGATCTGAGCTTTCATTTTAGTCTTGGGGAACCAGTAAATCCCTTGGTCAACACTCAGACTCATTTCACAGTGTCAGTAACCTTGAGCTTGCAGGAGGATTTATGCAATCGTGGTATTCCTTAACATTTAAATGTTGGCACTCCATAATTCAGTATGCTCTTTTTTTTAATTAAAAAAAGGCAAGTGTTTGAAAGACAAGCAGTTAGGAACATGCCAGTAAAACACATTTAAAATGAACACCTACACACTGCTATTTATGTGAGCTTCCATACACTTTCTTGCTTTCTAAATACTGGATTTGGGGGTTTTTGTGAATGTGATTCTCCCTTCTATGGGGAGAAGCAGCAGGTAGATGATTCCTGTTGTCTCTCTTGATTTGTGTGCATTGCAGGGGAGCCTTGCCAACCCTTCATGGTGGGACTTCTTTGTAAGGAAGACTCAGTGCAAATCCTCAATCACTCACTGAGGTCTGAAGTTAGATCTAATCTGATGGCGTGTGATCTTAATTTCCTGTACAGATAACCAAGTCTGGTATTTCCACTGGCAATGAAGTGTGTTAGTGGGTAATAGATGTGGTACCAGCAAGTCACATTCCTGTTTGCCATCCTGTGTGACTGGAAGGAAATCCTGATTACTGAACCTGGGTTTCTATGCTTGAAATTAGGATACATCTGGTTGGCACTTCCCATGCAGATATTTAAAGCTGCATTTGATGCTGTGTGGCACAGGGAGGTTTGGTGGGCCGTTGGTTCACGGGTTATTCACATCCATGCTGTTACAACGTTAAGGAGCTGTTGGATACACTGTAAACGCTGCTTTTTTCAGTGCCTTGTGGCTAACAGCAATTGTTTCACCTTCACGTGCAGGTTTGCAGCCTTGCAGTCCAACGTGAAAAGATCCTTGGTGAGAATTCTGAAAGCAAGAGAAAACCTGACAAGCCTACAGGTCTGATTTACATCAATTTAGTTATTTCTTCATCAGCTTTTAGTGTGGAATTTGAAATAAGAATGAAAGCTTTCAATGCAGCATTTGAGTTTAAGGGAACAGGGAAACAAGTAAAATACTGGAACCCAAGCAGAGTTGGCCTGGAAGTACAGAGAACACACACACACATAAGGCAACTTAATAGATACCTATTTTTGAATTAGAAGTTGCTTTTCCAAGCAAGCTACTTAAAATGCATCTCTCTCCTCATTTTGTACATGAATGGAAGCATATGAAGTAGTTACCAACTACTATTTATAACTAGCAGTGTGAATTATTACTGTGCAGATTTATATGTCCTTGAAGATTTAATATCCCTTTGTGTTGAAGTGATTGTACTATTTAATTTACCTCTAATGTATCATCATTTAATAGAGTCTGCTTAATACATGCGAAAATGCAAATAATTCTTCTGGTTTGCTCAGATTTCTTTTCTCAAATACATTTAGAACAAGGTTAGCTGCCGAATATCAATGTTCTTGAAACAGTTCAGCATACGGAGAGCATTTCATCATTTATTTTCATTTATGTGTGGCCGGCAGCATTTTGTTCACAGGGAAAAAAAAACAACGAAACCAGCATTGCTAATAATTGGAAGTCTTATAGTGGAAATGTTTGTTTAGGAAACCTTTGTGTTTCTCATTTGCCACTGTATATTCCCAGATCTACCGTGAAATGCTGGGGGAGTATCCAGTATTCCCATAGATGGGTAAATGCTTGCAGATTTCTCTTTTCCTAACATATTGGAGCAAGCTTGTACATGCTCCGAGATTGCTTTCCTGGGGATCAAGCGTTAATCTGTTTAAACAGCTGAAGACTTCTGAATGAAGCGTAAATAACAGGAGATTTTTAAGCAACTCTTCCAAAGGCACCTGAATGCCGTTTTCAAAAGTAACACATGTTCTTAGCCCTGAAACTCCGTCATCCCGCTCGCTCTGTAAGAGAAAATCTCGTGTAGCATTGAGAAAAGTATCCCTAAAGTTCTTTCTTTTCGAAATTTGTTGTAAGCTGTGTCGTTTGGGAGTGAGATTTAACGATCTGTGATTATGGTTTTTTCCAGGCTTTAGAGGGCAGCAGAGAGCTGGAAAATATCATCGGTGTCTCCGACTCGTCTTGCGTCTTGAGCGCTGAAGTGCAGAAAACCCAAGCGCTAAGTAAGAAGGATTTTCGACAGTATTTATACAGCGCTGTGTTAGAATGGAGTGTTGCACTGCGGGCCTCTGCCGCGTGAATTCTTTGGTCAGAGCAAATACACCTTGAAGGTCCCTGTGCAGCCAATGGGGACATGAAAGAAAGGCAGCCCCAAAGACACACACTTCTAACTCAGCCGCAGGTGGAGAGGAAAAACTTGGAAGAGCAACAGCTTTTCTCATGTAAATAGTGAGCTACTTAGTGGGCACTTAGCTAGTGATTAGCCTAAACGTTTGCACTTTGATTGCGTTGCCTTTCTTCTCTTTTTGGAAGGAAGTTGTTTTGTTTGTTTGCCTGTTACAAGGATTAGGCTGAATATAGGTTTCCAGGCTTTAAAAATTGCTATTCATCTGTCTTTAAATGATGGACATACCAGATGCTTATTGTGCTGGGAGAGGGGCACCTTACCGATGGCACATCCGTCTTAGGAACTCAGAAAGTCAAAGGTTTTCTTGTTTTAGGAAACTTTTATCCTTATTCCAAGCCAGAGGTTTTTGGGACTTCTGAATCCTCAGCAGCTGGAAGAGCGTTTGTACTGAAGTTCCCAGCAGCCTCTGCAGTTAGAAAGCCAGTATGTCCTAGGAAAGTATTTTAATGCAAGAAAAAAGCAAAGCCACAACCAACCCTTATCACTCATTGCTGACTTACAGGTAACAGCCAAAAAACGCTGCCGGTTATCCAAAGGGAAAAGTAACTCTCTGCCTGGTCTGGTCCTTCCCTAGTGATCAAACTAGCTGCAGGCACCAAGGAGTTCTGTTCTGTTCAGGCCTCGATCTCTGTGCCTTGGAATAGTTCTGCTCCTTAATTTTCACAGCAGTATGAAAGCATCCGTACCCACACGGCATGTTTATGATGCAGCCGTGTGTCTAACACTGCATTTACCTGGGGACTGCTTCTCCAAGGTTCACCTGTACAGCTCTGCTCCTCTGGGCTTTTTGCACTAAGCAATTTAGTTCCCAGCCGACAAGGAAATGCAAACATTGTATACATATGCACAGTCACTGCGTTCTCTCATGGGACATGCATTCAAAGATGATAAGCATGCAAAATTTTTTATCCTGCAGCAAATGCGATGTTTTGCTGATATACATTATTCCAGAACCCATCAGGCTGCTCTGTTACCTGCAGAGCCTAATGCTGGAACTCGCTGCAGGAGGGCAGAAATCAGCTGCCTGACTCTGCTGCTTATGTTTGCGCTTGGAAGCTACCAGATTTTTCTGACCAACGATCACTGAGACTCCTCTAATGCATGAGGTGGAATGTACGCACCACACGATTCCAGCACTACTGTTGTTTAAATTAACATTTCTTTCCTGCCTTGTATTCCAATGCTCATTCAGATTTCATTTTGCATTTGTATACAGGGTTCTCGTTCCCACTGTCATGCAGATAAGCAGAGGCTTTCTTACACAAAATGAAGCTCTGTGAAAACAGTCTATGTTTACATTACTACCCTACACGTGGATAGGACAGTACGACCATCGCACCCAGAAGGTTGCAAATGAGATGTCAGACCTCTTGTTGGCACTTTATTATGTGCACTGTTTCCCTAAGCTTCCTGTTGCCTTCAAAATGGGAAAGAATCCTCATTCCCCCACTCTCTGGATTAGAACAAAGTCCCGTGTCAACAGTAGAAGATAAAAATGGGGACAAAACGTAATAGGAGGCCTGTAAGCACATTTCAAAACTATGTTCTTCTCGCCTTCCTTTTGTCAATTTTTTTTAGCAATCCACAGATACACCTGGGGTTTTTCTTTTTATTAATCACGTGAAGGAAAATACAAGTGCTTCACAAATGAATAAGAAAGCATTGCTGTTGTTTTCCTTGAAATCTCTGGGGTATCATTTATTGATTTTAGGTTTCTTTCTTCACTAGTGAGCCAAGCAGAAGAACTGCAGCTGTTGAAAAGGAACCACAGACACCTTCCTGCCCAAGGTACTGAGAAACAAAAACCAAAAGCAAACCAATGTTGTAACTTCCACATAACAGGCGTGTTGATGATGCCTTTTAGTTGATTCCTTCTTAGTTCTTTCCTCCTGAAGTAAGTTGCATAATTTTAGTGTATGAAAGTGGCAGTAATCAAATGTATTTCTTCTGAACTTGCAGCTCAGCCTTAACTCTTGCACTATTCAAATGGAGATTTCATCTTTTCAGCTATTTTGTTGTTCTGAGTATTGCTCCATAGAAGTGTGTCTCATTAACAGCCCTGCACTTGAGGCACGATCCAGAACTCAGTGCACTCAGGCCCTTGAGACTTTCCCTGCCCTTCATACATCCAAGTTATCTTTGTTCTCTCACTCTCCTCTCTCTCCTCGCATTTGGAGAATACAAGCCAAGTAACACGTGCTGCCTGCAGCAGAACCTTGATCGCCCTGTACTGGGAGGTGCTTAGCATGCTCCAGGGAACTGTGAGATCCCAGCTATTAGGTTTCCTCATAAGTAGGCCTGTGAAAACATTTGAAGTTGGTGGCGTTTGATCTCACGTGGCCACGCAGCCCCTTCAGTGCCTTGGCTAAGGGAAGGGGGGGGACGCTCAGACTCCTCTTGTCCTGTTCAAAAGAGCACAGCCACTATCAGGCAGTGCTGGTGCTGAGCTCTGTGGGCCTCTGCAGATCAGCACAGCCTCTGCTTCCCTGTGCCCTGCTCTTTAATGACTGCTGGTGTGAAAAGTAGCCCACCGAACAGTCGCCAGTGATCAGTCTTACTGGAGAAGGAATGAAGTATTTGGGAAAAGCATGATGGGAAATAGAATATGAGCTCAAGGTGACCAATTTTGGTGGTTTCAAATGTCAGTTTTGCTTCAATAAAGAATAATTTCTTATTTGCAGTCTTAAAAACACAGAAGAGGCCAATAGTTTCGAGATAAAAGGAAAGCATTTGGAGATGCTTTGCCTTTTAATTTTGGATGTGGTTTTCTGTCATTATTTGTAATTAGTTATGCTCAAAATTTAAAACCTGTGACTGTTCTGTGGCTTGATACTGATGGAATGTCACATTATCATCACATGGTGAGGCATGAAATTTATTTACTTTACATAAACAACCTCTGCTTAGAACAACTTAATACAAAACATTCCTTGCTCAATGGGCAGCATTATGCAGGACTCAGTATATCATTTTGTGTGACCAGCATAAAAAATGCCATCATTGTTTGTCCATGACTAGCATTTACAGTAAACAAAATGTTTTTGAATAGAATATAAGCAAACTGTAAAAGAGCTGCCAAGAGATGAAATCTAGTCAGTATGCTGCAGTCCAAAACATGCTTTATGTGTGTTGAGAATGAATGTGTAGGTTGTGATATGCATATTTTAAAGGAAAATCCAATCACTTCAGTGTTTGGAGGAGTGAAGATAACGTTCTACAAAGGAAAGCTATTTAAGATGGTTTGTACAAACGATATTAATAATTTCTGTTACCCAAAAAAATAAACAGTGACATAAATCATGGCTGTGACTCTGCTGTCTGAGGCAGAAACAGTAAGGGAGTGTTAGAGAAGATCAGATATTTGCTGTGTAGGAAGGAAACGGGAAAACTATTTGCAGGCTGTGTCCTCATAGTCAAATAAAAGCCCCTTTATTCTTGTCTGTTCACCCTGACGAGCCCAGTGCCACAGGTGATCATCCCCACTAAGGTCAGTTCCAAACGTTCCCACCTTTCATTTGCTTGTAATGCAAGGCCTCAAGTTTGCTTCTTCGGAACATGAGTGGCTGCTCTCCAAGAAACTGGATCAGGGTTAACTGGAAGGGTTTTCATCTAACCCAACTGAGATCACCACTGAAAGCCAACTGCAGAGATTAGGGACCAGGTAGCACTGAGCTGCAGCTTGTCCGCCCAGCACTGCAGTGCCTTGCACAGAAGGCAGTGGAAACGCTGACCTCTGTGAGCAGCTATGAAGCGTGGCACTTGGACCTTGTTTGCCACAAGGCAAGAAGAAGACTGACTGTTTTTCTTTGCAGCCAGTTTAATCTGCTCAAATTCATGCAAAAAACTCTCCTTGACTGCGCTGTCATTGAGCAGGCAAACACCTTTGTTAGTCCAAGAGCCTCAGCTGCAAATACTTCTATGAAAAGCACAGAGATGCAAGTTTTTTTCTCCTAAACAACGCCTTGCTTTAGGCTTAAAATACAGCTGGATAATCTAATTTTAATTTAAAACTCCCCGGGCTACATAGAAAGGCAATAAAATGGAGAGACCTGTTGTTGAAGTTCATTTTCTTGTGCAGGAAGTCTAAACTGGTTCATCTTGGCTTGTCTGGAAACTTGGCTTTCTGTATTAAGGGATTCTCTTCCAAAGAGTTTCAGAGTTCTGTCTGTCTGTTGCCTCGCAGTGCAGATCTGAACTTGACACTGTTGCCTCTGAATCCTCAGGCATTCAGGAAAGTATTTCCAACTGCAAGTTCTGCAGCCTGCTGATTTCTGGTAGAGTCATCTCAAAACAAATCACATCGCAGCCACAGGAGTGAGGCATTCCTTTTTGTACTTCTTGGCCACTTCTGCCTTCTGATCTGCTTCTGTAGGACTTTTCTTTGTCCAAGAGAACCGCGTATACATCACAAAGCGTACAGTTCCATTTCGGAAACAGTGCAAAATAAAATGAGGAGAGTTCCTTCTCAAAACAGAATGGCAATAATTGAGTATTCCACAGTTGATCCTAATTTATGTCAGCTTGAGTTTGGACTTTCTGTTGGGTCTTCGTGTGTAAGCAACTAAACAGGTGGGGTCTGTGCTGCTGGGGGTAGCTGTGAGTGAAAGGAAATCCATCTTACAACGCATTTCTGCCTCATTTTCAAATGAAGGAGAATAAATCCATTTCTGGATTTCAGTTCTTTAATCTGTTCGGGAAAAGCTGTTCATGATGACACGGAAAGAAGTTTCTTAGCTTAGGTGAGGATCCTTTCAATGAAATCCAAGTTATGCCTTTCAGTCGTCCCACGGTGTGTGTTTGTACGTGGGACTGCACGAAGCAGAGCAGTGCTGTGCACACACCCCACGGCTCGGTCCGACCCACCTGCTCTGTCTGATCATAAAGTGTTTCGACTCTCCCCATGCAGACAAATCATTCTGCCCTCCTGCACTCGCAATCAAAACCGATTGTAAGCCTGCCCCAAAGCACACGTTAAGGAGAGCAGTGTTGTATGCTGATTTTTAGTCTGTGGATGAAAACCTGTTGCTCAGGCGCACTGGCAGCACGTGTTCTCAGTCCGTGCATGCAGCTCTTTCTTCAGTTCGTAAAGACCTTTGCAGTTCAGAAGAGATAACAGGAACCAGCTTAGGCTGCTATCCAAAAAGTGCTTGTGGTTTGCCCAGCGCAGGCAGGCAGCTTCATCTACTGAAGGAGCCCTGCTGAAAGGCAGGGGGCTGCTGGCCGTGCTCCCATGGCACCGCAGCACGGCGGCGTTTGCCGGCACGTCCAGCTGACGGGAGCTGAGGAGCGCGCCTTTAGAAACAGCCTGAGATTTAAGGAGTGCCTGAGCTTGCCGCCTGATAAGCTTTTTGGATAGAAGGGGGCAATTTACAAACCTCTCCCATGATTTAACATCTTCTGCAATGCAGATGAAATATTAAGCTATTAACTTTGGTGGCAGATACAGAAATGCACATGAGACATACGACTGCAGGCCCCGCCGTTATGTACGCATAGAACTGTCAGCCTGCATTTTATATGTAGGTGTCCACCACATTTATTCATGAATTTCACACTCGTGTTTACACTCTATTTTCCTATGTACCTTTTTACTGACTCGATAGCCATTAATTTTTAATCCTAGCGGATCTAGACTTTGGAGCATGAAGTTTAATGAAAAATTAAAGCGTTGTAGTACCTCCAACAGCTACGTGTAGCAACTGTGTGAGAATAAATGCTGCTTTCTCCCATGAATATAATTATTTTAAATAAAAAAGAAAAGAAACATTAGTTTGGACTCACTTAGAAGCAATTATATGTTTAAGAGGTGTAAATAACTTGCTACCCAGACGTTACAAATATCCAGGTGCTCTGTATGTGCTGATGACAACAAAATTGAAAAGAAAGACTGTAATAATTCTGACTGGTTTTCTCTGCAGAAGATATTGATTATTTGTGTGTGGTGAGAGATTTGGAAAATTCAATTAAAGGAGTTGTGCAAAGGTTTCATAAATTTTCCTGGTACAGCGTGTACACAGACATTGTTGCGCATTAAATCAATGCAGCACTTCACAATATATTTTCTTTGAAACATAAAAATAAATAACATTTAAACAGTTCTGCTTACTACAGAAACAAATTTTATTTTCTGTGAAGCATTTAGTCATGTGCTATCACTGACTCATACACATTTGCCAGCTGTAACAAATTTTATAGACGTTTTCTCCAGAGACATAGCTCATATACTATGAATTTTTAAATGAGCAAATGGTGAAGAAGGGATGTCAGCAATATAAAAATTGATCAGTTAAAAGATAAAAGCATAAGTAAAGAGATTTGTATGGTAGTCTTAATAGGTTTTATTAAATAAAAATACTATAAAAAGACAGTAATGAATAGACTGACGGTTTTAACTGTGGTTGAGGTGGAGAAAAATTATTCTGGCACATTTAGTACGAGATTGGTTTTATATCACCTGACAGGTGGACATTTTTTTTCTTCCGCTTTTTAGATCTGCAAATGTTTTAGGGCAGCCAAACTTGGGAAAGAACAGTAGTGCAAGTAGGAGAAGAAACCTGGGATCGTGCCCTGCTGATGCTGTAGCAGGTTGGGGCAGCAGGGAGGTCGGCCTGCTGGCTCTGAGGCCGGGCTTTCTGGTGACCATCGGGGTGCTGCCCTGTGCTGAGCCGCCCCAAAATGCTGACCTGTCCTCCTGACCCTCCACAGAGCCCTGCCTGCCTGCAGGCACAGCAGACTTTCAGCTGGAAGTTTGGCTGATATTGCTATCCGTGCTTGGATGCGTTGGAGCTTACATATGGCTTCTTCCTGTAAAGTACTGAGAGGGAAGGGTTGTTTTGTTTGTTTTGTTAAGGGCTTAGGAGCTTTTTGAGCAACACATTACCCTTGTGAGCTCACCAAATACACTGCTCACCCAAAGAACTGCTGTGACAAACGTTGTACTGGTCTGGTCCACCTGGGAAGTAAATAATATATTTTTTTCACTCTTTGAATACCTAAACGCCATCTGTATAAGCATTACTATCAGTGTGGCTCATTGAAGCGTGCTGTCACTGTATACATCTAGAACAAAAAGCAGAGTCAAAGTTTTCCATGAATCTGGGCAGCCTACATTTTTAAAGATACCTTCTGAGAGTGACATGCTGGTGTCAGTGTGGTTGCTTGGGTGATGGGTTCTTTAGATCCTGTGTAGTGTGAATGCTGCTGTCAGCAAGTAAAGGCCTCATCAAGGCTTCTGAATGAGCTGCATTTAGCACAAAGAAGCCGAAGAACAGCAGCTTGGCCTTGAATGCCTCCAAGGATGGGGCATCCACAACCTCCTTGGGCAGCTTGTCATACAGGATTGGAGAGTTTCCTACTCTAACTGATAGCTGGTGGGATTTTTTTAATGACAGTTTGTATAAGCAAAGGGTGTTTCTTAGCTATAATGCCGCAAAGTTGTACCTGAGGCAAAGTTGAGCTGGATGTTTTTTTGGGAGTAATCTTAAGAGATGTAGTTTAGGATTTGTGGCCTGCTCCACGTAACGTCACTGGCACCTCTGCTGGAACTGCAGGCAGGGCTGCTGCATCACACCACCTGCAGCCGAGAAACCACAGCACGGTGAGAATCAGACCTGTCCTTGCCATCACCCGTGTCTTTACTGGCTTTGATGCATCTTTGTGGGCTTCTGTGCAGCCCTTTTCCTCATAGGAAGTCTTTTTAGCTTTAAACACCATAAATATGCCTCCGGTCCTCAGTATGTTGAATATATTGCAAATAAATCTGAATTCTGTCCTCACCCTTTTGTGGTGGTAGAACCAAAACGCAGTGTGAACCGTCAGCAGCCGCAGCACAGAGCCCAGAGCTCATCATCTGCTGCAGAGCCACCCAGAAAGGCACCTGCTTCCTACCCCTGATGTTCCCATTCCCTGAGTTCTCTCTGCCCTTCTCCCAGCCACCTGCTCAGCCCCTTGGCTGCTCTGAGGGAGGCACAGCCAGCAGGGCGCAGGTAGGTTCTGCTGTTTGCCATCCCCTCGGGGGACTCAGGGCTGGCCGTTCCTCTCCTGCAATCCTTGGTACAGCTCTTTATGGTCCTTACACGTCTACGGTCCTTACAGATTTTTTATGTACCGTCTGAAGTAAAGAGTTCTGTAACTATTGCAGTAGTTCACTTAACTCATATTTGTGTGGAGATTTTCACCAATTCTGTACAGACACTGTTCTGCTCACAAAACACTGATTTTCTTCCCCCACAGAGTACACCCAGCCAGCCAGCAGCTCTGCCTTCCTGCAGCTGCTCCTCGACTCTCTGTAGCCTCTGTCTGCTGTGCGACTTTGCCAGCTGCTGCACACAGGTACCGTAACCCTGAGGACTGAGACATGCTATTTACAAACATGTGCAGAGCAATCTATGATACAGGCTTGCAATCAAAACTGGGATGATTTGATGGGAGAAATGTTGACATATTGAATCTACAAAAAAAATATCCCACTCTAAAACACCTGGTTGCATTTCTCCCTGCCAACGCTGTCAGTCTATAACTGGATACTAAGAGTGGCAATTCAGCTGTAATGCGTGTAAACTAAGTACAAAAACATGTGCACTGCAGCAGATAACATTTTCTGAGCTGCTGTGACTCCTTACAGCTCACCAAGATGAATGCACAGGAGTAGGACAAGCAGGCAGGAGGGGTACAGGGGGGAGGAACAGCATGGAGACCCCAGGCACCTCCTGCATTCACGTATCACAGTGTGGGATGTGAGCATCCCGAGGTGCCACTGAATGTGCAAATTCGTACAAGCCCTCTGCAAGACGACAGGTCACCTCCCCCCATCCTGTGAATGGTTCATTCTTAGCATTCCCAGAACAGGAAGCATAAAGCAATACACTAACAGACACCTCGAGTCGTATTTAAGGGTTTCTAAATTCTTCCTCCTTTGGCTGCTTGTCCTTGTTGCGGAGCTGTGAGAAGAGCCCAGTTAGAGGCTGACCTTGTCTGTCCCTGGCTGTTACCCACGCATGGGAAAACTGCCTGCTTGTGTGTTTCATAAACCCCGTGAGCCAAAGAAGTCTGTGAAGAGGAGAACGCCCGCAGGTTGTCGCGTTTCCCTTTGCACTGTGAGGACAGCACTGCTTTTGGAGAGCTGGAGCACTCTGAGTTGTTGTGACTGAGGAATATGAAGCAGATGTACGGTTTCTACCAGCTGTACAACTGATTTAGTGTGGGGGTGAAGTCATAGACACGTTTTGCTTCTCAGTGAAGGTTAAATTGTATTCATAACCATCATTAACTGGAAGGAAAATTTAAAAAAAGCTTCAAGCCTTGCTTGGCCACAAGGTGCTGCCACCCCAGCACCGAGCAGCTGCTTATCCAGCGATTCCCTACTCCTGCCTCCTTCCAAACCAGCTCCCCCCCTGTGGAGCCCAGCTCCCTGTGAGGCTCATGCACTGAAGCCCTTTGCTTTCTTATGTTTACAGATACACGGCTGTGATAGCTAAGCAATCCTTTCACCATTATTCATTCAACTATTTTCTGTAGATAGGAATATAGCATTTCCTTAAGACTCCAAACGTTACTGCAGTTCAGCAGAGACCATCTGTTGGCCTGCATTGCCTTAGGATGTGTGTGCATCTATTTTCTGAGCAGCGAGGCTGCTGCTGGACACAGGACAGAACTATAATTGTGAGCAGATCATATGAATGATGATGATGTTGTCTAACTGCAATTTATTTTAGTCATTCCTTATCTCCCCACAGGCATTATGTGAAAAATGCGTTCCACATCAACCCAAAGTTCTACATCTGCTTGATTGTACTTAAAAGGAGAGAAGGACCAACTGTAAGCCTATCTCCCCTGCAAATACCAGTTAGGCATTGCTCGCTGTGCTAGGCAGGTGCACATCTAGATAAAATTTCTGGCATCTATTTAAACTTAACAATGTGCACAACCAGATAATCTCAATGTAAATAATACATTTCTCTGTGGTTATTTTATCCCAGCGTGTGTACAGAACGCTGATCTCGATTTACTGCTGCATGGAATATTAACTATTTTCTTCTGTATGTTCTTACTGCAAACATAAAATAGTTACGTCGCTCTGGTTTAAAAAAAAGTTGCAGTCAAGCATCCCCTGCAAGAACTGCTGAGGAGAAAATGTTGTAAAAGAGAAGCATTGGATCCCAGGCCTTCAGGGAGCAACGGACAGCTTCACAAAGCATGGTGCTCGAGGAAATGGCTGCTTCCTGCTGGGGCTGCTCAATTAATCTCCCCAGCAATAAGGCAGCAAAGCACGATCTAAATGACTGTGTCTGGGTTGCCAACAGACTTCCTAAAAATCTACAATATTTGACAGGTGACACAGCTTTTTATAACGATGATGGTGACCAAAAGATAAAGGAAGCTCTATTATGCAAGGAATGGTTCTGATTGCTGACCCTTTGATTTGTTTATACGCAGGCAAATTACTCATCTATAGCTGCCACTTCAGGACAAATTTGCCATCTACAAAGATGCTTTCTGTAATGCTGACCCACTGTACAAAGGCACTGGAGTCAAGCCCCCGTTACAACAGCACTCTGTTGACATGCTTTTTAGGTCACCATTTTAGTTTGGTTCCAGTATTTAATGATATATAGAGAAATTTAATCGAACACCTTCTCTTTGGTCACTGTGCTCAAAATTGAACTGCTGAATTAGTTGGGTGCAGCCTCTCTTGTGGGGAAAGTGCAATAGAATGACTTCTTCCCCAGAATGACTTTTTTTCCCCTTAAATTTCATGAACAGAGTGAAGTCCAATATAAACACAAAAAATTGAACATCATTTCTTGCTAACCAGTTTTTAGAACACTGAGAAAGAAACATTACAATAGGTGGTTAAATATATATGTAGTCAAATGTGGATGTACTGAAGCTTTTGGAACTTTTAACAAATAAAAATTACTTTTGCATTTAATTGCTGTGCAGTTCAATGTGAGAAGTTAATTGTCACTCATTTGTCTGCTCTGCTTCTTGCTGTTGCTACGTGCACAGGCTTCACCAGCTGATTGTTTGCATGATAACGGAAAAATAAATAGTTGGGACTAAATGGTAATAGTTGATATAACCTGACTGTAACCTTTGTAGCTGAAAATTAAATAATCATTGATCTGTACAGGGCCTGCAAGTGAACTGAACGCCATCTACAGCAAGCTGTTCCGTGCAGGTCTTAGGAGAACAGTTATTTTGCAGAGGAATAGTAGGGGTGATGATGGACAGTCAGCTACAGCAGTAATTTAACTGATTTACACAAAGCTCACCCTATCACAAGGCCAGTTGTTGCTTAACCATTTTTAGGGAAATACAATGTTTTCACCCTAAGCTCCTGCTGCAAATACTCCTGGCACATACCTCGGCTATTTAAGCAGTTACTGTTTCTTTGACCTCTCCCTGTACCAGGCTTCTGCCTTTCCGAAACAGCTGGCTCTGTTAAGAACCATTTCCAGTTCCACACAAGGTGGATCGGATGACTCTCACTTTATCACCCCTGGAGGCCATCTCAAGGACAAAGAAAAAAGATACACGCAAAACTAATGTTTTTATACGGGTGGGAAGGACCCTGCCCCGATCTTGTGACGAACACAAGAGAACAGGCTCGTCAGAACGTGAAGTTGTTCTGCTTCCATCTTCATCTGCTGTTTCACACTTGATTTCAGTGGAAGCAGAAGGTCTCCAAAGCTCCTGAAGCTTCAGCAGTCTCTCAGCACGCCGTGCTGTGGGAATGCTGCGTGCTTTAGCTCTGCAGACAAAGATTCCTATGTATGCATCCCGATACACATCGGTGCTCGCTCAGCCTACGTGTTCTAAAAGAAAGAAGGGATTGTGGCAGAGATCTGGTGTGCCATGCTGGGAGACACTCCCTCAGAAAAATGCGAAATGCTTGTGAAAACATTTCAGTTTCGTTGCTTTCCAGCAAACTATTACTGCGTAGGTAAAGAAAGAAGATAAGCTGCACTGCCCCCTCTAAGTTATAATTACTGTTCAGGAATGCCTTTTGTCTTAGCTACCCTGGGTCAAATGTTGGCTGAGATTATTTTTTCCACAACAAATAAAGCTGGAAAAACTGAAGAAATAGTCAGCTTGGAGGCACTTCATTGACAGTGTTCATAACTCACACAGTTGGAAGCACACGGAACAGCTGATTCACACACACAGAACTGATGCTGCAGAGGGAGCTCCAGAATGTGCTACTGACAGTTGGGTATGTGCAGAGAGCAGGGAAGTCAGGCAGCAGTCTTTAAACAAGGGTGTGCAGTGCTAAAGCAATGCTGACAGAGAGATCTGGCTACGAAACTTATGCTAACTAGAAGAACATTCCTTTCTGCTAAAAGCTAACAGCTCTGTTAACATCAAAATGCCTGTGGGCTTGGGGTTGTTTTGTTTGTTTTAAAGATGAGGTCAGACAGAAGCTTTGTTAACTGTGATGAGAGCAAGAGAACAATGATTTAGCATCTCCACCTCTGCTCTCCCCTTTCCTCTGCCACAAGATTACAGAGAACCAACTTAAATACTTTCCTGGGAGAAGAAAAAGCATGGAAGCCAGTAGTTTGGCTCCAAGGAGGAACCAACCAGTAAACAGCGTGTCAGTATGGAAACACAGCTGACAGCAGAGCCTACGGGAATGGCAGGCAGTGTTATCTTAGGGGGATGTCTGAAATAATCACTGACCCTTTGCTAGCAGTTGAAAGGAATGTTCCTTTAGTACAGGTAAACTTTTCCACCAGATTGCTCAAACCTTAAGCATTACCACCACCACGCTTGTTTTCTTTTGTTTTAAACACCTGCTGTCAGATGAATTAAGAAAAAGTCATGAAGAAGCAGTCGTTCTGCTCAGACTGCAGCAGCAGGAGCCCTCCACGCTGACACACAGCTTCAAGCAGCAGCCTGGATGACCTGCAGCACTGCATGGGAGAACGACGTGTGCATCGACAGGCTGCACAAGGCAGTTGTTATAAAACAATCCAGCAGCACAACTTGCAGTTACCAGTCAGCAATTACCACTCACCCACACTGTTTCGACTTACTTGTGCTTTCTATGCTGGGAACCACGTGAAAGCCAACAGAACAGTTTGCTTTGCTGATACAGCCAGGACATTTTAACGTTCAAAATTGGTCCTTTATTAGGCAACGACAAGTATTACAGTTCTGAAGAAAACACATCAACTTTCACTTCCAGGTATTCCTTAAAATGCACCTTTAGAACGGTCTTTGATCACCTCATAGCTACATGTGTAACATGTTTCCCAATTTTCATTAGCTTACAGGAATTGTGTGACATCATAAACAAGTTCACCTGCAATGTCAGACACTGCTCACGAAAACCACTGTCCTTTCACAGCTCAGTCCACAGTCTTCACAAGTTAACTGACTTTCTTCTGATTCCTACTATTTTTTGAGTCCCAGAGTATGATTACATTAAAATACACCAAAAAGAATAAAAAATGTAAGCAAGAAATACTGGACACTGACACAGGGAATAAATCCGGGAACCTCTGTGGAGGATGCATGGCAGCACTCATCACAGACAGGACGCCCATCAGGGTTACAGACAGAAGGAACTGTAAGACACAATGACGCGTTAGCTAGCGTTGATTTAACACCTCACATCAACAAGCTGCTCCTTCCATTACTTGGGTGCTCTGTATCCTTCAATCTACACACAGATGACACCACAGGAAAAAAAATAACTTAGCATACCTCTACCCCGACACAACACGGCGTTCCCTGCAGGACGCTTCATTCAGGTATGAACATAACGTGGCTTCGTGCAAATATTTCAGTGCCACGAAGAGCTTTAAGTGAGGGCGGTAGGAATTCAAGTTACTCACCAGATTCCTGACAATCTTGGGAAAGGGCTTCAGCCAAGAGACACAGCCCCGCAGGGACAGGGAGAACGGCTTCAGCTGCAGGTCCTTTGCTGAGGTCTTCTCAAATATTGCAAAGGAAGCCACACAGGCTGACAGGAACGCCAGCGTTGTCACAGCGTAGGCCAACAGCAGGCCGTCTTTCAGAAGAAGAGGCAGCATACTGTTAGAAGACCATGAGCACAGAGGTGAGTGCACACTGAGCTACCTTACACTAAGTGCAAAGAAAGCAGAAAAGAACACACCAGTGCTTAATAGGATCAGGGAAGAACACTTTTAAAATGACGTGAAGTGTCTGACTCACCTGAAAGTTGATACAAGCAGAAACCACGTGGCCATAAAAGGGATTTCATTGATGATTAAGCAGACTGGTCTGAAAAAAAAGAAAAGAGACACACAAACACAGACGTGCTGAGTGAGGAAGGCCCACGGGCAGGCAGGAAGCTCTGCTGCTTCCCTGCTCCTCCAAGCCTCTCACAGAACGTTCAGCCCAGCACAAACACCTGCAGCAGGACTCAGGTAGTGAGCTTACAGCAGGAAAGACCAGCACAGTTGCATTGATATATTCTCATTTACAAGCTACTCAGAACAGCAAGTGTGTATGTAACATCAGCTATATTTATAGGTGAGAAAGCAGCATGCAGTAAGTAATAAGATGAGGAAGACCAGAATGAACATACAGAAAAATAATTTACTTACACTGACACGAGGAGAATAGACTTTTCGTGTACTTGAAAGGAGAACAGGAAAAATGACAACGCACAACTGACCTGAGAAAAGGAAACCAGATACATTTACATTTGTGACTGCAGCACAAAGCACTGCCTTAGGTTCTCTGCTGCCATAGACTTTGTATGGATGTATGAGTTAAGTGAGCTGATTTCTCTAATTCACTGCTACATTTACTCCAGTGCAATTTGCAAGTACACAAAGCCGCTTCTGTAACCACCTACACCTACAGAAAACCCACCCCAAAGCACTGTTACAAGGCTTACCCAGAATTATTCAGAAAACACTTTGTGCAAAGCAGCCCCATTCACAGACCCACTGACAAGCCTCCCCAACACGTGAACACATTGCTACACATCCTCAGTCACAGCAGCAACAGCCCAGCTTGTGAACATCACTCGTGCACAGCATCATCAACAGCCAGTACCCCAAACTGTTTTCAATGTGTTGGGTTTTTTTGCAGCCAAATAGAAACACGCTGGAAGATACACAGCAATGCTCAGGAAGGCTGCATGTTGGCTTTAGGCAACGTTGCAATGAACTCTCAAACAGCACTTACGTAAAATTAAAAATGGAAAACTACCTTATTACTCGAGCATCAGCTCCATAACATTTTGATTTCAAGGCAATATGACTTCATACTTAAGTGACAACAACATAAATGACAGCTGATCAATTCAAAGATATGAGGAGACTGAAATGCAAACATTTGGGAAAATAGCCTAATCTTCTTTTCAAGCTACTGATGAGCTTACAATGCTCACTGTGAGTCTTCTCATAGAACTTTGCAGCCAATGCATTAAAAAAAACAAAAACAAGCACAAGAAAGGAAAAAAATTCAACTCCATAAGAATCTGTTGTGTAGGGGCTCCTCAGAAGTAGATAATAAAAATACAACGCTAAGCTTCCCAAAAACTGAAGCTAAGATTTTAAGTCTGGATGTAAAAGACCAGTCAGACCCTCCCAGCCACCCCCAGCAGCAATATGCTTCTAAAACCACCTTTTCAGCAGAACCAACACAGCACTGAATGGCACACAGTGCTGCACGTGTGGCAGCTCTAAGTAGAACGGTTGGTCACACAGCAGCAGCCAGGGGCAGACCCACAACAAGGAGCAATTAAAAACATGCACTTACCAGTGCTAATTTAAATCCTCGTAGGGATGGCTGCACAGTCAGCTTGATACAAGTAGGAAGCAGGCTCAGGAACGTCACAGCAAAACTAAGGGATTTTGCAAGAAAACTGGTTTGAACATATGAGCAACTACTTCAGTTGTACCACGTAACC